GTACTATACTCACTTCCCCACTTGATTTCTGGAGGGACCATGAGCAGCAGTTCCCAGTGCTTGCAGCAATTGCTCGAGACATGCTTTCTGTCCCAGCTACTGGTGCAGGTGTAGAGCGCTTATTCAATTCTGCCCGCGATATCTGTCATTATCACCGCGGCTCTCTCCATGCAACAACTATTCAGGATCTCATGCTGCTAATGTGTGCTAATCGATTTGATATTGAGGAGGAGCAACTTGCTTTTATACGAGAATATAAAACAGAGTACGAGATAGATATTCAACAGGAGGATACCACAAAGCATATACTACAGGAGATTATAGAGATTAGTGAGGGGGAGGAGGAGGAGGAGGAGGAGGAGGAGGAGGAGGAGGAGGAGGAGGAGGAGAAGGAGAAGACTCCTCTACAGCATCATACAAAGCGAAAAAGAGATAATTATGAAGCTGAAGAGGAGACATCAGATGAGGCAGGAGGCTCTGCGGAAGAAGAGCCTCTACTACCTAAGCAATCTAATACTCAGCGTGCTTCAGGGAGGGCCCGGATACCTTCGATACGGCTACAGGGATATACTACTTAATATAATCTATAATTTCATTCACATCTCTGCTCTCACTGTATCTGATTCAATATAAAAATCACTACTGTATCACAGAATCACTTTATTATCGAAACCACAGCATTACAGCCAAGATCTCGCTTAATCTTCATATTCTATGCAACGCATGTTAGCCCTAGAAAAAGCCCTATCTTTGGGCCATTGGGCCGTTTTGGGCCGGCCCATGGGCCATGTACAGGTCTAGTCCTGTAGGGGTCAGATCAGCTCCTAGGAACGGATCGATCCGACCCACATCCAGACCACACACAAAATGCGATAGCCAGCCAGCTCCATATAGCTTAAAGCACGCTTCTACAATGATAATCTCACATATACTGCTGCCAGCCGTCAAATACGAAGTATAAGCAGTCACAGGTCATATCTGTGCCTTAGGCAAGCTACTCTATGATAGTCTTCTTCTAACTGGTCTGCCACTCCGCCCTTGGGAAACCCCTGTTCACAAACTTTAAGACCTGAAACGAGGAACGAGTGGAACGGGTTATTACGGCTATGACTACATATACATGCACACGGTACGATAGAGTAGCCTCTATTTCCTAAATAGGCCTAGTTCCGGTGGTCTCTAGCCCCGTGTGTTGAGTGCGGTCATGTTGCGGAGGTTTCAAGATTGTTGTGATATGTGGCTGGTGCAGATCAGGAACCAAGCCGAACCATCGGAATTAATCCCGATGTATCTATACGAAGAATCAAGTTGATTTCTAATCAACTTGCTCTTCTCGTTGTATATATAGCCTAATGTTTCCCTTTGAACAACAAGATAATTAATACCTCTGAACTACAACATCGACCAATAATTCTTGATAAGCGCCTTAAGTTCGGCAAAGAATTCCTCGATAGGGTTAAAATCCGGAGAATAAGGCGGTAAATATATTAATTTAACGCCTGCATCATAACACAGTTGCTTGATTTGGTCCGAACGATGGAATGATGCGTTGTCCATCACAAGTACGGATTTGGGCTCTGGCCACATGCCACAGGGCTGGAGAAGCTGTTCAATAAAAGATTCAAAGAATGAAGCATCAGTAGAACCTTGAAAAATACGAGACAAGATGACGCCATCTTGTGCATAGGCTGGCAGTATCTGATAACGTTGGCCCCGATGAAGTTTGGATACACACACACACACACACACACACACAATTCACTAACGCCCGGCGGCTGAACCGAACGTGCAACTATCACTGATCTAAATATACATGCTTTTTAGCTAATGCTGTGCCTCCTTGGAGCCCATACAAGATTTCTTTCAGTTTATGTCATCTCGGATGTCAATATCTTAGCGGGTCCTTGTGGGTTAGTGTTTAACCAGCAGACTTGCTTGAAGGCGCTTCTCCAAGTGTTCAACATCCTATCCTCGGCAGTTGAAGCGCGTCTACAGTCTCTGGCACAAGGTAGTTAGTTGGTAGGGTTTAGATTGGGGATGGGGTGGGGTAGGGTTAATTTGTGTTCGTCGATATGGTTAAGCGGCGTCGAGTCGGCCCGTGGCGATTGCAAACCGTATTGAGGCTCACACTGCTTCCAACTTCGGCTTCCAGTTCTGGTCATCCAAAGGCGATTTTACGCCCAGGAAAAATGATATGCTGCCTCGGTGAGTGTGGGTACATTGCAGCATTTCCGTCCGGTGTGTGGTCCACCGTTGACATCGAAAGAGGAAGTGCTCCACGGTCTCTTTTGCTTGCCCACATGCACATTGATCTGTCTCTGCGACGTTGATTCGGCAGAGATATCATTTGAGTCTTGCCATGCCAGTCCGGAGCTGGGCTAGCACACTCGCTTCCTTCCACGATAATCGATCGTACAGCTTCCGGGTATGTTTTCCTGGGAGTGCTGCATCCACTCGTTTGGATTGTTTCCCTACATTCTCTGGCAAGCAGTAGAAGTCGAGAACAGATATATACACTCCTCGACACAGTCGGTTTCTTTCTCAGTGCCCGACTCTCAACAGGCTAAGCTTAATGAGGAAAGAGGGTGCACCCTTGTTGGGGACTTTCGGCATTTTGATTGGCTGTACGAGCGACCTGAAACTGGCCGATCCGGAGTTGGCTCTAGAGTGGGTTGCTGGGAAAGAAAACGTGTGTCTAGAGTGGCACTAAACCCAGACTAGAAGCGCATTAAATAATCGACTTGTCTCGATTGGACTTGCTAAACTGGTTTCGGTTTGAGGATCGAGGATATAGCTAGTGTTGGAGCAAATATACCTAATTCGGCATAGTGGACATGTAAGCGACATCAGGAGATGTTGATACTCAAATGGTACGCCCAATCATGTCCATGGATAGTTGTCTAAATTGTTATCCTCGTACGCACACACCAATTTGTATGCGTCCGACTATGACTAAGGCTCTTGGCTAAATTACAATGACCATGCCTTACAATACCAATTCTCCACCGATACTGACAAGAGAGACACTAATCGCTTCAGCGGTTAAATGGCTATCTAAAGGGAAGAAAGAACTGGGTAGTTCCCTGCAAGACGAATTTTTGTATTTATTTATTGGTGGTTTCTGTAAGCAAGACACAAAAGACCTAGAGGACAGAAATCTCGAGGTTCTCCCGTATAGCCCGAGGGTTCGGAATAGGTCGGACTTGGCTCTTCCACAGAGGCTGAAATAAATCTCTCGTAAAAGACCTGGGTGGTGTCAAACTATAAGGAAATGCACGGACCTAGGCTTCGGATGGAGAAGCGCTTGTCGGTTAGCAAATGATTTTAGTCCCTTTGTGCTTCAGCCAAGGTGTGTAACTTACCACTTTTGTGGTACCAGCCTTCAAAGAAACGCTGTGGTGAATTGAAGGGTTTGGTCACGATTCACCGCCCAGTGCCCACGAATGTTTTCCTCATGTGACCATCACGTTGAACCTCCAAATTAATGGTGAACTAATTCCGTTTCTGTAAGATTTTATCATTTAAATTGCGATCGGGTTGGTCTAATTTCATTTTCATTTGAAATAGGAATCCATTTGATCAATGGTCTGCTTTCCTACTGATTTTTAAAATCTGAGCAGCCTTTTCCCTTCGATACCCACTGCTTAATTCCAGCAGCAGGATAAGGTCCATTTGATACCTGGACTTGACTTTGCTACGCTCAAATATTGAAAGTATCTTTCTCAGCTGGGCACATGGCTGGATTGCTCCCTTCCTTGACAAGGTGTTGACTGCTTCTATTCAACCGTTCAGAACTCTTCTGGATTTTTTGCGTGTTTTGCCTGGAACAAACCGACTTACCGAATATATATTTACCAGTACGGTGTTTTCAACGGCTAATATGCTAAGCGGTAGAATATGAGTATGGAATGAATTTTGAATTATTTTCATCTACCCAATTCACAAAACTCAGGGCGGTATATTGAAATGTCAAGATTAAATTATGAGCTACGGACCTTGAAGAACTGAGTGGCCCCAAAAACCACGACCTACAGCAGTATGATTCTTCGCGTGGTCTCATAGAAGCCGCAATAGCCTCTGAATTGAATGCCCCACTCGGTAGAGGAACAACGAGGGATCAAGATGTAGTTAGTGTCTATGCATATTAGCGGTTAGCGAGGCAGTAAGCCTTAGGTCACGCCAGCAATTACACATGCATTATCACAATTTGGAGATGAATGTCATGTTTTCAGGTCAGATGTCGCCAAGTACTTAAGGCAGACTTTTCAAAGCCTTACAGAGCCTTGGTTTCAGAGCGGCAATTCGGCAGTCCATAGATCGCGGAAATCTCCTCTTTGAGGTTGTAGTGAGGGAAAATGGGGCCATCCTGGGTAAGGAGCACGACCGTCATACATTTCTAGGCAAGGACATTTCACGAGCTAAGAAAGCCTTGGAGCAATAAATCTACGCGAAGCTATTGAGCACATAAGAAAATTCTCGCAGCACGGCTATCCTGATTCAGACAGGCAGAACGATGGAATACTTCCATTTACCCGAAATCCCGAAATCCCAAATCATGAGAAACCCCGAATTCCTTCTCTCAACCGAGCGCAAGTAGTCTAAAAATAGAGACGCGGCCAAGAACAATAAAATGCCTCATGTAAGACATGAATGTTTCCCAAGAGACTCTTTAACATCATTGGGTTGGGGGTGTCTGATATGCCGTTTTCCGGTGACTCGGTGAACGTCCGCTGCACAGAGAACGATATCAATATTCCGAGATACTGGCACACCGACTCACACTGCCGTTATCTCACGGTGATCAATGATCCAGCCCTGATAAGTCCCAATTTTGCCAGAGCTCTGGGCTTGGTGTCATATTTGCGAGAAGAAAAGTATAGTATAAAAGGCACACAAGAGAATTGTCCATCGTTCTAGGTATTGTCAACGCTACATGCAAGCCAGAATATGCTACATTGAGGGTCTTTATAAAATCTTTACTTCTTGCTTGTATCTTCACAATGCTATTCTCCTCGCTGTTTCTTCTCCCATTAGTCGCATTGGGCACAAGCGTGAACGCACTTTCTACAATCACCCAGCCACTCGCGAACTACAAATGGCCAACTCAGTTTGTTCGAAGCGGCGAGGCAAACATTCAAGTCCTCGTCCAGGGCGCAGGACCGACTGTTGTAATTCTACCTTCCTACGGGCGAGATGGTGGTGATGATTACAATTACTTCACTGATTCCCTAGTCGATGCAGGGTACCTCGTGCTGCGTCCTCAGCCACGCGGTACCTTCGAGTCTACAGGACCAATGACCAACGTGACTCTGGAAGAACTTGCGGCAGACGTTGCAGCTGTAATTGATACACTGGGTGGGGCCCAAGCCATCGTGATCGGCCACGCTTTCGGCACCTTCCTCGCCAAGGTCAGCTCTGTCCTGTATCCGGAGAAGATCCCTGCAATCGTTGTGGCAGCTCCAGGTGGCATCGAACTGCCGACCAATATCGCCGGAATGCCTTTTATCACTGGAAACACCTCTTTGCCTATTTCCGACCGCCTTGTTGCTCTTCAAACGGCTTTCTTTGCGCCTGATCACGACGCGCATATTTGGTTGGACGGTTGGTATCCTGACGTGCTTGCTATGGAGCACGCGGCTGTGGAAGCCTACGGAAGCTTGAGTTCACACTGGGGTGGTGCCGATACCGCACAGGTTCTGGAGGTGATTCCGGCGGATGACCCGTTCCAGCCGAAGTCCCAATGGAATGTCACTACAAACCTATATCCGAACCGAGCTACCTTAAAAGTCATCGCCGATGCCTCTCATGCCCTGTTCCCTGAGCAGGGGAAGGCTGTTGTGGAGGCAATTCTGCCTTGGTTAAATCTTCAGAGCTCTAAGATTTGAAAAAAGGTATCTGTGAAGGAGATGAGTACGGGAGACGAGAAACGAGTTGTAGAGAGTGAAACCTTCATTGGATATACAGAGTTGAAAGGTTAGAAAGAGCGGTTCGAGCCTGAATACAACGGCGGAACTTGAATAGAATCAGATAGGCAGTGATACATTAAATAGAGAATTTTTTTCTTGGTATTCTCCTAAGACCCCACAAATTCGCAGATGCTCATTAGCCTGTAAGAATTTAAGGCATAGTCCCTGTTCGATATGAAAATACTGATTCCCGATATGAATAGTTCGACTATGGAGCTAGGAATGGCGGATTCTGGGAGACATGACCCAAAAGAGAATCCAAATTCTTGAAGCTTTTTTAGGACATCATTGTTGATAAATATTCCCCCTCTTGCGACTCGCCCAACATTCGCTGCACACATTGCATCATCTCATACTGATAGGTCTGCTCCTTGATGACAAGAGGATTTCCAGCATTCGTAGACTTTTCCATGTAGGCCATCTCGTCAAGTACCGGGCGTCCATTTCTTAAAAAGTGGACCGCCAGGCGATAAAGAGATAGACTGTTTGATATAAGGATGCTCCCTGGCTTTTCTTCGTGAAGATTGTGGGATTCTCTTCTGAACTGCTTCCACATGACATACCATGTTTGTAGCCCTCGTTCTAGCGCAGACAGATCCACTGGCAATAAGGACGTCTGGGCTTCTAACAGTAGTGTATGCATTGCCAAGACCAGTAGGTTCAAGCCAAAAATGTTTATGTTTGATTCTGCGGTGACCTGACCGACCATCAAGCCCCTCACAGAGGATAGGAAACAGCTCGACGAATCCTGAGCCGGGAGCTCGGCCCACAAAGATGCAGAGTAAGCATTCCAACTCGAATTATCACAAGGAAAAGATGCTCTTGTATCTGTTGGCGAGAGAAGAGGCTTGCTACCACAGAGTATTGATTGGTAGCAGTCTACTGTGTAAACACCCCAGAGAACTCTCTTCTCTGATTCCTTTCGAATCCACGCTGTCCATGATTGGGCATTTCGTGCCGCTTTGGAGCACTCCCCGTGAATTTTGAGGAACCCTGTATGCCGTATATTTGTGACAAGGAGTGGATGCAATAGTCGAGAGGCAACCCGCTCAGCGACTCCCCCATTCGCCATGGTAGCAAATTGCAAAAAGACCAACGCTTGTATTTCTTCAAAATCTAGGGACTGGTCATCGGACCGGAGGCAACATTTAGCAAATACCGATGGGAGGGATCCATAGATAAGCCTTGCGTCCAAGGTGGCTGATGGGTGACTGCCAAAGCTGGCACCGATGAAACATATCGTTCGAACAAGCACCGACGGTGATGAGGCGAGGCAGAATGTTGGGATATGCAATAGAGGTAGAAACTGGTGAAAGTGAGAAAAGAAAAGCCTTGCATACGTCTCCAATCGGAGCACTTGAATAATTTCTGGGCGTTCTAGTTCCAGACAATAGTCGGCCGGAAGCCGGAAGTTGTCAGGGCAAAGAATTCCTTCACAAGTTGTGTTTTCCGAAGACACCGATGAGTCTGGCAGCGTGGTAATATCCTCTTGGGCCAGGATAGGATGACCGAGTATTGATTTCAGATCCTCTGGGCTCCATGCCCAGGAGCCCACGTCAACGAAGTTTTCGATATCAGCTAGCTGAGTTAGAATGTCGGGTTGATCGACCGATGGTGTGTCCAGGAACAAGGGGTTGACGGGCTGCTCATTCAATGGCGCCCAGTCGGGACTCTGATCTTCACAGGCTGTTTGTGGCGTATCTGACGATTGCCTTGAGGTGCCTTTCGTGGATGTTCCAGTCCGCTTCTTCCGTCCGGCTCTTACACATGGGCAACCTTTTTGCAGACATCGCGAACAGGAAGATCCCTTTCGGTCAAGATCACATCGAACCTTGGAAGCGGCGCAAGCGACACAGCTCTTGTTCATTTTCTATCTTTGAGCATAGGCGGTCGGTAATAGCGACATCGGGGATTGTGGAAGAGAAGACAAAAAAAATACCGTAGAGGCGCAACCTTCCGATGCGAAGCTCCACACTCAGCCCGACGGGGCGTTCATTTAGTACGACCCGCTGATTGATCCGTATAAATACCGTAACAAAGAATACCATGGCCGTTTAGGCTGTGTTAGTGCTTACTGTAGACAACATGGGTTGAACGGATTCTTATCGTGCTGCATAGTCTAGAATGACCCGAAATCCCGAAATCCCGAAGGCAAAGGTCCGTAGGATTTCGAAGCAGATGCTGACTGCTATATTATGTTCACTATTTTACCACAAATATGACTCTATCTTTCCCATCGAAGTCAGCTTGGTTGAATATTAATATCTCAATCTTTCGATTCCGGAATTAGGAGAACAACAAGTCGGATCAGAATGTCGGAAACCAAATCCACCGAGACAAGGGAAATGTGTACTTCGCCAACTCAAACATGGTTCGATCGATTCTGTCTTATGCAGAAACTTCAAGATCCAAAGACTCATTCCTCGTGGCAGAAACTTGTCATTGTCTCGATCGTCACTCTATCTGCCTTCACCGCGCCCTTTGCCTCCTGCATCCTCTTCCCGTCCTTCACCATTCTCGTCGATCATTTTCATACTACCGAGACCAAAGTCGCCTTAACAACGACTGTCTTCCTTCTGGGCTTAGCAATCGCGCCGCTGTGGTGGAGTACCCTGAGCCAGGAGTACGGCCGCAGACCTGTGCTAGTATTCAGCTTTCTGCTCTCAACGGTAGCTGTAATCGTCTGCGCCGTTTCAAATTCACTCCACATGATCATCACTTTTCGTCTCGTCGAGGCACTCGGCTGTTCCTCTGCACAGAGTGTGGGGGCGGGTGTCATTAGCGATATCTACATTTCCACTGAGAGGGGCTCGGCACTAGGATGGTTCTACCTTGGCACGTTGATCGGACCTTTGATTGCGCCCATCATTGGAGGTGCCCTTCAAGTTTGGCTTGGCTGGCGAGCACCGCTATACTTCATGGCCATCTTCACCTTCAGCACTGCAATTTTCACCATGATATACCTTCCTGAGACATTGTTCAAGGCTTCCGCTGGGGATCAGGAGGGAAAGCTGCGGTGGCATCAAATAGCAAAGCGCGACATTCTGGCCCCTTTACCGAAGTTGAAATTCCTCTTGGTACCATCAATCGCCTTGACAATTGCCTACGTGAGCATCTGCTTTGCCAGTCTCTACTGTTTCAATACGACTCTGCCTTATGCATACGCGGCGCCGCCCTACAATTTTTCTGCTATCGAAATCGGACTCTGCTATATCAGCAACTGTCTTGGATACGCGATTGGAAGCATTGTCGGTGGTAAATTGAGCGACGCCAAGCTGCGCCAGTTCCAGCTTGCGCATGGTGGAGAGATTCGCCCTGTCGAAAGAATCAAGACCGTCTGGTACGGCGTTGGTTTCGTCCCAGCTGGGCTGATCATCTACGGCTGGTTGGTCGAGAAACAAGTCTTCTGGGTCGCCCCTCTGGTTGGCGCTTTCTTGTTTGGACTTGGCCTCATGCTTGTCACCTCAACTATTATGCCATTCCTCGTGGACATCAAACCGGGAGTGGGTGCTTCGGTTGTGGCTGATTTGAACTTGGTTCGGAACATTCTGGCCGCTATTGGCACTGTTCTGTCGCCGATTGCGGTTTCAAGTATTGGGTTTGGATGGTGGATGACAATTTTGGCATTCTTGTGCTCCTTGTCTGTCTCTTGCATTGTGATTGTCATCCGCAAGGAAGGAATTGAAAGAAAGACGGCGGCTTTAGAATGCCCAGCGTGAGGATTGCCCTTAGTAAGATAGACAAACCATTGTATGACGAGTATAATAACGATAGCTTATAGATTTTCAATTCTTTCCCTATAACCACCACAAAACTAATTATCTAGTAAATTTTTGGATCTGCGTTCAGGCAGACTTCGAGTCTGGTGACTGAGAGTGGTACAGACTTGTCGTCAATGTGGCATGGCATCAGCATAGGCAAACTAGAGACGAGGTAGCAGACGTCAGCTCGATCACAAGTACACGAGGGCCCGGGATCAGTCCGTACCGCAGGGAATGGATGTGGGCCATATCTTCCAATGCATAGCCGTTGCGTCTTTGCTATTCGTATGACAGGTAAATCTTCAACTGTGTTAGGACAAGTACCACTGAAGGAGAGATTCATGGAATTTGGTCTAAGTTTCACTAGGAACTGACCTGAAAGCGACTGCTCTCGCGGCAAAAGACCTGGTAGATCCAGTGCTGCGGCCCGCCTCGTCACTTGATCAGCTGCAACCGGGTCTGACAGAGCTATCCCTCAGACCGTGGCCAGTAGCTCAATTCCTTACTGGTTGATACTATCCTCGGAGTGACCATTGTCTTACTCGGTGGCCGTCGATGCTCGGCTTTTCTTCGTCACTGGATGCTGCGATAGCTCACTCGATCTAGCATGGGACCGGATGATGCCATCGTCAAGGCTTCGAATCGGATAGGGGACAAGAGGTGCTGGGCTGTCGGGATACGGAAGCTAATATAGTAACAGTTAACCTTTGGTCAAATAGGATAATCTGGGAGAGATGAAACATGCCGAAACTCTACCATATGCTAATCAAAGGCCACTGAGCCTTCCTAGATTTGTTCCGCCAACGTGAGCGAAATGGACGTTTCAAGCAGGTGTCCTGGAACAGCGATATAGAAACGCACTGGGATTCATTGGCCCGGCCCGACGTTCACTGCATCCTTAGTTTTGAGGACAATGGGGAAGTATGGCTCGGCTGTGGCGAGTGCCGTCTTGAAATTTGTCCTATGATTAGAAAGAATCACCAGCAATCTTTTCCGATGGACAGAGAGAACGACAAGATAAAACCCCAAGTAAATAAAATCTGCACTGAGATCCAAAATGCACCGGTCATGGGAATAGACAGAGGCAACGCACCAGGTTGACTTGGAGGATATCGAGCGGCTCGTGATCGAAAGTTTGCCTTATTATGCAGGAAGTCGTCAGCACAGGATCAATACTCTCCAAATTGCCGCTGATAAAAACTTACGTTGTTAGCTATTGCTGTTCGCTGCATTCTGGCAAGGTCGAAGCGGCTGCGTAAGGATGAATTCGATCTATCATTAATCATCAGTAGGCAGCTTACGAAGGTACTTAATAACTCACCGTGCTCGCAGCTTCGATCATTTTTGAGGTCATCCAAGGTCCGTCAAATGGTTTCCTAGAAGGATAGTAGAGGAGGACTGATCTTGAGCATATTCCATGTCAGCATGATTTCAAATGACGGGGCAGCTACACTCCCTTGCTGTTTGAAGACATCAGCATCGAAAAATGACAGTCGAGTGTCATGTAAAAGGTTATTTTAATTATAAGTGCATGGCTTCGAGGCCAGTCCATACAGAAGTGTTGCTGGCGAAGACAAAAAGCGGTCGATATTCTTTGCCCCAGAGTGACAAACGGATGTTTGAGACCGAATGTTCTGTTGGGGAAAGCTAGTGTATTTATAGCATTCCAGCCGGGCATTCTGCTTTTGTCGATGCGATGATCATTGTGAATTGTGAGGGCACAAACACAGATGACTCTCCAATTGCAGCTGGTTCAACATTTCATCATTGATTCAATGCAGCACTCGAAGGCATTGAATTTTTCCTGATGACCAGCATATGAATTGTTTTTCTCACTGTTGGTATCGTTGAAACGGTCGCGAAAATGCCGCAGAGAAGCACCGATGATGCGTATCAACATTCACCACCTTGTGTCTGTACGTTATTGCGATGGGCGGGGAGGCAACCTTCACTAACCGATAATGAGCGCATTATTTACTCCAAGATTGCCCCATCAATAATGAATAACTATCAAGCGATGATTCAATCCTGGCTACCTACTAGCCCAAACGCATAATGCTCTGTTCAAGCAGATACAAGCTATGGTGCAGCTTGGGATTGATCCACACAGCCCACATCTCACCAAAGATTTCCTTCAATAGTGAGTGAGTTAGGTGAAATCTAGGCAGAGTCCAGCGTGTTGTCGTTGTCACGCGCAGCGGCCCTGAAATGATGAATAGGGGAGGACCACGGAAACGAGAGGGCAAGAAAATAGATGAATTAGCAAGCTGTAACTAATGTCAACAGCAAATAGAAGTCGTTAGAGCGAATAGAGCCAGGCACAGTTTAAGCACGCGGGAAATGTGATAACAACTATTACACAATTAACGGTTCATCTCATGATAGTCCCGATGCTGATCATGCTTTCACTACGAAGCCATAAATATTGTTCGACGCATTGATATCCCCCACGCCCATCACTGTCCGATACACTCTGCTGCAGCTGCCCTGGACATTAAAGAACTGGACGGTGTTGGCTCCACGGGATCCGCGCCAGCTTATCTGCGCGCCTCTTGGGATGAACACGGTTCGACAGCCCTGTGCGGTGGAGCCGGTCCACGTTTGAGATCCGGCCTTAAGCTGCCAGGCGGTAGCGGGACCTAGAGTTGTGAAATAGAGGGCCTAGGTCGACAATTTCATAATCACGGTAGGTGCTAGAAGTGAAAGTTTTCGCATGAGAACCAAGATCCATAAACGGTAGAGATGGCTTACAGGGGTCTGTGCAGTTAATGATATTATCGTAGATAGTAGACGAAGGACTTGAGAAATGTAGAATAATTTACGTTCCGCACAAAGTCGTCCACATTCCATTGCCTTATATTAGTCTCGGGGTTTATTGATGTCACCATGGGGAGGGCCTCCCGGGGGCTCCCGGGCACCACAGTCGCAACTGCTCTAACAGGTCGGCTGACGCAGAGCTGTCCGAAACCAGCACGAACGATTTACCAGACCACAAATTATATCTTGCGATGGCAAGGACTGGTCGGACGAATGACGCGGTTCCAGATCGATGGAAAGGACTGGTCGCATGAACGACGCGGTTCCAGACCGATCAATGGACCGCCGGACCTCAAAGAGAAGAACCAACTTTCACCCAGACTGACGGGTGGCAAACCACAGGCACTTTGAAACTCAGTGGAGTTCCATGTGGGGTTCGTCAGATATAATGCTCGGTAATAATGTTAGAGCACAGGATATCCATGTAGGTGTACAGAATATGGATAGACGAATGATTTTATTACCCCCCGTGGCCCGCAGAAAAAGCATGCAGGCGAACACAAAATTTGACATCATAGAGGTTTGTTGCTGTCGTTGTTCCATCGCTGTTTTTGGGCCGTTATAGATGACCTTGAATCCGAGCTAATAGCTTGATAAATGCTATCAACCCCCCTGAGTCTGTGACATGCATTGAATATCGGTCCATCGGTCCCACCTGCACCTGTTGCAATTCTATGACCTCGAGATTATGATCAGGCGCTATGATGGCGGCTCCTTGTGAACACAACCGTTTCTTCCGTATAAAGGTAGGACATCAGCGAACGGTAGCCTACCTTATCGACCCCAGTGTACGAACTTTGACTATTTCAAAATGTCAATGAAGTGTCCAGGTAGTATTTGCGTAGATATGTGATGTAATCTTCAGCAAGATTCCATCTGGGGTCCAAGAATCATACCCCAAACCCCGTCCCATTTGGGGTTGGGATGCCGAGACTCATGTCACGGCCAAGATCGATCTTGTTCTCGGCCACTGTCGTTTTGAGTGAAGGGATGGAATACAGTGCAATACCTATTAGTATCCCATTGCAATTCAACTGAATTTTTGGTTCCCCCTCGGCGCTAAATATGATGCAATCAACCTAAATCGTTATACCGCTTTAGAAAACGAGATGCGCGCTGTCAAGTTCAGCGAGCATGGCTAGCCGCTTCTCCTGTTTTCGTGTAAATATTCTCCTGTATTAATATGGTGCATATGTGCAGTGTTGTCAAATGAAGATGTCAAGGGAGTAGTTTTTCTGGAATGGGAGTAGGAATTTGCTGATTCGGACATAGCCATCGACGCAGTTTGTTGTGATATAAGGCTGCAGCAGATCAGGAACCAAGCCGAACCATCGGAATTAATCTCGAGATATCTATACGAAGAACCAAATTGATGTTCTTCACGTTGTATATATATAGCCTAATGTTTCCCTCCGAATAACCACACAATTCATACCTCTGAACTACAACAGTAGGGAGGCAATGTGTATGTATCGTAGTGGATTCTATGTACAGAGGGAAGGCAGAGACAAATCGAGTCCTGACTGCGTGAGCGGTTTCGGGATAGCTACAGAGACAAGCAACCAACTCTTGCAAGGAAGTTTTACGAGGGGAAGAAACCTTCAGTAGTGTCGGTGTAGATATCACGTGAGGCAACCCCAATAAAATTACTCCTCTACGAGTCGCGTTGGCAGCGGCCTTCGGCCGCTGCCACGGGGCTCGGTAAGTAAGATAGTACGGATGCTGTGCCACAAAAGGTTCCCTCTATTAGGCTCTACATACGTGATTCTCCAACGTTGCATGGCGGCTGCACCAGAGTCGACTCTCCCTCCATTATTCGCACTTAGAGAGGCAGTAACAATTCGTGATAAACGACGTTAGGAGTGTCTTGATCTATCTCATTGGGGTCTCGGAGAATACGCATGTCAACGGCAGAGCGGACGCGGGATAAGCTAGTGTAAAGTTGCCCATGGGCGAACACTGGCAGTGTGAGATCTAAAACAACGCGTTCCAAGGTGAGTCCCTGACAGCTATTGAAGGTGGTGGCATAAGCTAGACGCAGGGGAAATTGTCGCCGTTGCACCGTCCAATTTGCACGGTGAGGCCGGAACTCAAATGTGATCCGTGGGAGGTAGAACGTCGGCGACTGGGTATCTGGCGTGCATGCCCGTTGCAGTAACCGCACCTGTACCACATTTGGTAGCAAGTTAATTACCTGGACCCTCACGTTTTTGACTAAATTCTTCTCAAGGGAGAGATTCCGCATCACGCTAGCGACGGCGCCAATCTTGAGCGAGAGCTCATACGAAGGTACTCCGGGCTCGTTCAATACCGAGAGAAGATCCGCCTCTGCCCCTGTGGGAAGATTGAAGGCGTAATCGTCTAGTTCTTTAATCGTATCATGACTGTAATAGGTTTCTGGCGCAGCGTAGGGTTAGCCAGGAGAGCGCGAAAGGTGAGTCTTGCCACCAAGCGAATGGCATCAGATTACACGGAAATGTCACTAGCAAAAATGGGAATACCTGCACGCCCCGGTAACCGTTCCAAGATAAGCCTATTAAACAGATCAACGCGGGCATTGAACGGGCTAAGGAAAGCGCGTTGGACGGCAGCAGCGGAGGTGGAGACGGAATCTTGTGGGAAGAGGAAGTCTGCCGCAGCGTTAAGGTCGTCAAGATGCTGCAAGTGACGGAGTGGCACACTTGTTTCAAAGGGATGTAAACCATCTCCTACCTGATCTACCCATCTTGCGTATACCGGATCCCCGGCCTGTCGGACTGGACTGGTCAGCCGCAGGACCTTGAAGTGGTTCCAGAGCGTGGAGGTGCGAATAGAGCTGTTGAGGGTTGCTGTAGGCCCAGAACTGCCGCGGACGACCGGTGCCACCTGGCGAAAGTCCCCTAGCCCAATGAGGAGTTTTCCTCCGAATGGAAGGTCATTGCTCATAATATCTTGAAGGAGGTGGTCTGCACACTCCACGACCGCCTTCTTCACCATAGGAAGCTCCTCCCAGATCAGGAGTGAGGCCTGGCGTAGGAGCTCCGCGCGACCTGAGTGAGTGCTGATCTTTGATACCAAGCCCACGTCGGATTCTTGAACGGGAATACCAAAGGCAGAGTGGGCCGTGCGACCGCGCTCGTAATGGATGACGCTGAGGGCAGTCGTTCCAGTCACGCAGACGATGCGCTCGTCTGCCCTGATGCGATCACACATGGCACTTATCAAAAATGTCTTCCCGCGACCCGCACGGCCGTCGACGAAGTAGCAGCCCCCAACGTCCAACTGGCCCAGGAGATGATCGAAGATGCCTTTCTGACCCCAGTTCATCCTACAGTACGCCTCGTCACTTGTCATGCGGATGGATGATAGTTGGTTCGCGAAGAAGCTAAGTTCCAAATCCACCTCCGCGCAATGTCGAGCGGGTTCTGGTAGGCCACACTGTGTTAAGGAGGATCCCTGTGCTGCCAGATAGCGAGCTAGGTCTTGCAAGGCAAGGTCCGTAGCGTGGGCTGTGGGGTGGCGTAGTCTGTAGTCAGCGCAGAGGTCGCTCTGGAATCGGGCCCATAGCTCCACAGCTGGAAACGGGAGGTCAGCCAGAAGCTGGGTAAAGAGAAAGCGGAGTTGGGAGGGGCGGCTGTAGGCTGCGATCGCTTCATTCATCGCGTACACGGCCTCATGGTCATCCTGGAAGAGTCCCAGCACAGTGGCAGCCCCCTGGTATGTGGGATAGCAGTGTCCCCGGATAGTGCGGGCATCTTCGAAGTTGCTCGCAGGTCGCACCTGGAGTAGGGCGCGCAGGTAAAACGTTTCCTTCAGACGAAGTGGAACGGTCTGAAGTCGGGCGACAATAGGCCGACGGACCCGGCGGCGCAACACCTTTTGGGATAGCCCCTTTTCGGTGGTGACAGTAGTAATGAGAGTTTGACCGCTGTCCAGTGCAACATTCAGCGGTACCGTCTCCAGGTAGTAAAGGCTGAAGAGCTCGGTATACTTCAAGCCCGAGAAAGGCTCCGTTGATGGACGTTTGAAGTACCACAGTAGGTCGCTCATCTCGGAGTAACCCGGTTGGCTTCGATCGTACATCCTCCCCAAATTCTTTCCTTCCAGATGCACAGAGAGGCAGCGGACACCAGGACGTTTGGAGACAGTATGGAAGTTGAGGATCCGGTAGACCGCCTCGGACGAAGAGAGGTAACGGGCGTTCATATAGTCTCTAAACTCATCTACTTGGTCTTCCTCGCCGTCTGCCCGATCATCGTGGAGGGTCCGAATACCAAAGCGCGCCCGATCAGGTCCTTTGAAGAGGTACTTGAAGAGGTAGAGGAAGATCGTCGCTGTAGAGCATACATCCGCGTAGATATGGCAGTCGAGTAGGTGCACTAGGGCTGGTATATGAGGAGTCACCCATCGATCTTCCTGCTTGCGTCGGCGGTAATGGACACGACCGAGATCATCCATATAAGTCCGGTTGTTGATAGGCTGGGGGTACTCGTAAATGCAGCGGCCCTCTCGATTGCAGCGTGACGTGGGCCGGTCCAAGTGGTTCTGCGAGTGCATGTGGAATCTGCAGACGGCTGTATGTAGGGTCGGGTCCTCCTCGGGATCTGGCAGCTCGGCGCAGATAAAACCGTCCAGCTGGGCCAAAGGTAATTCGTGTTGGAGCTTGACGACCAGATGCGCGTGTGGTAAACCCCGTTTCTGGAACTCTGTCACGCATATCTCGTACAGGAGACCTCCGAATTTCTCCCTGATAAAGGCCTTCAAGCCACAGAGCCGTCCGTGGAATGCACGGCACACCACGGCAGGGATGTCTGTGAAATGCTGGCCTGCGAGCAACTGGGACTGAATCTCGGGCCAGTTGGGATTGGTCGTCATGGTGAGGAACAGTGACGGCTTGGCCAGCTGTCGGGCGATCGCGAGGGAGTCGGCGACCTGGTCCGAAGCCCAGGCCCGGGACCCCATGAAACCGGCAGGGATTTTATTCTCGAAGAGGTCGGGGAAGTCAGGATTCGGAGCCTCATCCATGCCTACAGCTTGCAAGCGTCGGCCACGTTTGAGATAATGCAGGCGCTCCTCCTCCGTCCGGGAAAACATGTCCACAGCATACTCACATGCTAAACGGCCAAAAGTCCGCATGCGGGGCTCGCCCAGGAATAGGTGGCGGTACCATTGGATCTGCGTGCAAGGTATGTTTTTTCGGGAGTCGTCGAGAAAGCCCCAACCTAACGTGCCATGTGGAAAGAGGAGTGGATATTGCAGTGGCTCGTAGTGGCAAGATAGGGTGGGAACGAAGCGTGGCTGCTGGCCGCCTCTCCTGTAAAAGACGACCTGTCGTGGGGCTACCTGGCGGAGATTTTCTATAGTGATGACTGCAGCGAGCTCACCCCCCGCAGGCAGGGTGGAAAGCTCAACAGCAAGGGCGACGGTTTGGTCAGGGACCTGACTGACGGCGTGCCGCAAGGTCCGCACATAGGGATTGACCAGACCCAGGAAATCGCGAATCCCATTTAGAATGTCACTGGGAACGTCATAATCCCTTGCACGTAGACCTCGTTCGGACTCGTCATAAAGAAACCAGTGCATGCTGTGACCTGTATCCGCGACGTCCAGCAAACGGTGGTAGACACGGCCTTCTAGGACGACGTTCGCCTGACCTTGGAAACGAACGAATTGACCAGCGGTGCCGATGGCGGAGAAGGCAAATAGGTTGTTTAGCCGACGGCTGATAGAAGACAGACGGCCCTGATACTGGTCTAGAAGAGACTGAACGGCTGGCGCGAATGGTGGTAAGTGAGGTAAGTGTCTGCGGCCGCGCCGACAGCACCAGCCGTCAGCCTCAGTGGAAAGAAGGCGAATACCGCAGAAGGAGCAGTCTTTTGACCAGTCCTGAGAGAAGGGCCGGACTACAGCCTGGGCAAGGTGTTTCCACCATATAGTTTGCACTTGGATAATAGGCGAATCAGCGATATAAGGAAGCGTGGGCCGCCCTTGCGGTACGGGGTTAACAGAAGCATGTAGAGGCAGTCGTCGGCGCCGCCTCATTCGAGCCCTGTGTCGGCAGTCCTCACAGAGCCTATACTGAGCCGACTGCCAGGGCCGTGCACAGCCCGAGCAGAACACACGTTGGCCAGACAGGACGGCGTCTGCAAACGACGGACGAACAGCAGGAGCAGCAGGCAGCGAAGATGGTATCGCAGTAGGAGCAAGGTTCTGGGACGTGGATAGCCGGTACCGTCGAAGCTCCCGACAGCGAGAGCAAGTTTTATATCGACTGGACTGCCAGGGATGGGCGCACCGAGAACACAAAGCCCGCTCCCCTGACATGGACGCCATCAGCAGTCAGAAACATGATCCGTTGAAGGCGTAGGGGTCTTTCCCCGACGCGTAGCGAGAAGGATCATGGAAGCAGGGCGGGGTATGTATTCAGTAGAAACGGAGGGAGCGCCAGCGGCGGACGCCCAAGGCCTCATGCGGCTCGTCAGGCCTCAATGCAGGAGGGGGGCCTGGGGCCGACCACAGACTGCCGCACCAGGTTCGCCAGCAAATCGAGACAGCAACAGCCCCATGGATGATCCATGGAGGAGGAGCACCGAAAAGCGCAAGTCCCCCCCAAGCACGCTAACCGCGACGCAGTCGTCACGTCCTCACGTGAGGGGAAGGTCACATGGGGTCGAACAATCTATATAAGAGTCTTAATGGGGTCGAACAATCTATATAAGAGTCTTATATAATATTCCAACCATTGCTACATTGCTACAATGGAGACGCGTGAGATGTTTTTGGCCCGTACGGGGCACCTGCAGTCTGAACATGGTGATGTAGGTCTCCTTGACAGAAGACTACAGCGCCGCGAGGGCTGCAGGCGGGCCCGTAGCACTCCGTATATTTCAGGAGGAAGCAAAGCTATGCGGAAGCATACTTAGTACATACATGAGGGGTTCTGCGGTGGGCGGGAAGAAACCGCTGCGAAGAGAGCCCAACTCTCCTTCGAAACGGCGATGTTCCTTTCGAAGGAGAGGAGATACGAGCAATATCTGTGTGCGATTACAAGCACGGAATATTGTGTATCTGACGCAAGGGGGGGAGGGGCTCTCCGCAACAATCCCGAATAGAACATATCATCTATGTTCTTCCAAGGTTAAGCATCAAAACAGCCAAAACATTACATACTAAAAAAATAGCACCACTACTACCTAAATTTAAAGATTTGATCTGAAAATAATAAATCATTTGATTCAAAGATTCTTCTGCTGATTTTAAAAAATATATTTAAGAAGAGACTGTAACTATACAGCCATGAAGTCCTGAATCAGAGAAGACATATCAAAATTACAAAGATCAGTAAGCTGAATTATCCATGCCAAGCCTCAAATTTATGCACAATATGGGTTTTTTGTACCCATTTGGACCCATTGCCGAAGTCTAAGTAGTAAAGACTTTTACTACCTCGTCCTTTAAGATCGAAGTTACTAGTAGCTTCCGAGTCAAGTTCAAGTGGTAGATATCATAAATCTATATATGGAAGACTTGATAATCAAAGGAAAATCCCAGGCTCAATTCCCTCTTGAACCAAATTCCAAAAGTTTGTATCAATTCCTTGTAACGACCACTCCATTGTATCCGCAAAGACGCTCGGAAATATCGACGATTCAGTAGTAATTATATCATTTTCGTTTGATGAGACCATTGTAGAAGATGAAGTAGTATAAACATCATGAAAAGTAGATATCTGCTGATTGGTTAGATTATCTGCCGACTGCAGCTCATTTTGGTCATTTGTGACATTCACTCCAGGGAAACCAGATTGTTGGTCAGGAACCCATCCCTGTATGCTAGGAGACACTGGTCGTTCGATGTTTATGCTGGTCGCATCAAGGACACACGGTCTAATTGTAATGACTCCGATATATGGCACGTCAAGTTTGATAGGTGGTATGGTCTGTGAGATCTGATCTCCGTGGCTTTCAAGTGCGCCTTTTTCAGGCCAAGTAACAATAGGCATCAATTGATTGATAACATTCGATGTTTCGTGGCAGATTGCATCGTCATTTTCCCTTGCAAGGACTTGAAATCTAGCTTGGACACTATCCAAAAGTCGGCTATCCTCTTGCCGCTGGGTCGCAGGCGTATGATTTTCCTCGACGTGGGGCGGTTCGTCCGCTAGATATGCCAGGAGCAAGGTCATGGCCCCAATTAGAGCGCTGTGGTCGACATGCCGACAGGCAGTTGCTGAAGAATTGAGGTTGCGATATGGGATGAATAATCGCAAGATCGAGCGACTGGCCGTTGCGCAAATGTCCCGGCTATATCTAAAGCGAGGGGTTTGAGACCTGAGACCAGAGTCTCGCTGGAATAAGTGTGGTAAATGTAGAAAGACATTCAGCGTGTAGTGATGAATTTGCAGCAAAGTCTGAGAGATGCTGCTGATCCTTTCGAAGGTTGAGCCGATCATGTGTGGGCGAGTAGACTCCCACCACTCAGTGCCCATCTCTTCAGCCACCGCATCAAATTTGCAGTCTATGAGTTGTGTAGATGCAAATACCTTATTGCTAGTCTTCATCGAATTTCTCTCAATAATGAGCCCAGTAAGAACAGTGTAGTTTCTTTCGAGATTATCCATGGGCGTATAGTTTTCTGAGTCCGAAAGGTTTTCAAAGGGGTCGTTTTTGGTTCCCGGTGGTAGACCAAGGAGGAGTGACAGATAGCGATCAAAGAATAGCACACGGTGCCAGAGCCATTGAGTCGAGCTATTAGCTGCTGATGGCATATTTTTATCGGATTTTTGCAGGTTCGTAATAATCCCATCATCCAAACCTAGGATCTGGGATATGTTCAGAGCTCGACGAACTGTCAGCCAGCTACGTCGTAGATTGCCAGCATTGAGCTGAAAGATAGCCAGCAGCAGAAAACACTCTAAACCCTGGATTGAAACACATATATCATCCCTAGAAAGAACAACTTCTGATACTGTGGTAACGACATTCACGGCAGACCTTTTGAGAGACTCTCGATCTTCAAGAGTCAAAGAATCGCAACCGGGCTGGAGGTGTTGAACGCAAATCATGAGCTGAAGAAGGTGCTTAGCGAGAACTACAGGGTTGCTGTTTTCCGGGGGTCGTATAGCAAGGTCTGTTGGCTTCTGAAAATTCCCCTGCAAGACTTCATGTTGAGGGTAAAAGAAGGTTGAGACAAAATTCGATCCGGGACTTGCTGATACCAGATCGCTCATAACCTGTTGGGGCGGAAAAAGATTGAATAGTACTTTGCAAACATCTCTGTGTCTCGAGTCTTGAAAGCTAGTTGTCGGTTTGTTGATGTTAAGTCTTTGGTGGGAAGCCGAGGGCCCCCCTAGAGTGCTGATCTAGCATGTCGCGGATACTGAAAATGGCTGCCGTGGGCGTTTCTTTCACAGTTCTGGCTTCTAGGACGTCATCGATAGCCGGAGACTTAGAGAACACTGGCAAATCGTTTCCAAAGTCGACTGTTGGGGTAGAATGCATTCCACTCGTTTCCCTGGACAGTCGAATTTCCCCAATCAGGCTCTCCATAGCTGCCTCCAGCCTTTGCAGTCGGTCCATTACCTCACCATCCTGCTGCTGCTTCCGGGGCAAACAAGAAGTTGGGGTTTTGATGGAGTCCTGGCTATAACAAGGGGTTCCCCTGGCAGTACAGGTAACACAAACAATGTCATCTGGCTTCGCAAATCGACAACGTACTTTGCGGCGCCGGCCTGGGAAATGATAAGCGACCGAGTCAAAAATCAATCATATTGCGAACATACATTCTCTGCAACTATGGGTTCCTTTTCGTACTCTATTTTTGCGCCCGGTCGGACTCATCGCAGATCCCTGGGACATGATGACTATCCGGCCTCCGGGAGGTCAGTGAATCCACGACCCTTCAAGTTGTGATTCGCAAGTTGGTCATATATAAGCCAGCGCTTTGATATGAGAAACGTATCCAATGTTGAAGGTTACAGTTAATATCGATCTCAGCACAACCTTGGGTAAAGACAGGGGGACACAAAATGAGTCAGGATTCAGGATTCAGGTCTCGCCTTCCGCCTTGGGCGGTGGGGCGGGGATTCACGATTACCAATCAGAGTACAATGGGGTCTATATAAGTAAATTGGAAGGTGTCAGACATTCAAAAGCATGCTAGCCAATAGATGAAGATAACGAAGTCTATGAGGGAAACTAGGCATCACTGATCCTGTTGAATAAAGGAATGCTCTGGAATGACATCCTCCCTGACTCACATGGTAAGTTTACAAGGACATCTTTATTGGTGACCTCTCGCAGTCAAGATGGGAACAGGAACGTGTATAGTTTGGCCGTAACGGGTCACCTGTCGCTGCGGTCTTATGCGTAAACGCATTAGACTGTAGCGTCAGAGAAGGCCCGTCCGCGCTCCCTTGTAGGGAGGCAATGTGTCTGTATATTGCAATGCTGGTTTCTATATACAGAGGGGGGGTGGGAGGGACAAAATCGAGCCTTGACTGCGTGAGAGATGACGAGCTACCACCGAGGCAAGCAACTGACTCTTGCGAGGCAGTTGTAGGAAGGAGCCCTCCGTAATGTCGGTGTAGATGTCACGTGAGGCAGTATGGCAGCTTGAGGCAACCCCAATAAAACTCCTCCCATTATCGTCACTATTTGTAGCAGTGTTCTAGAATTGGATGAACATTCTTGTTGGAGGCTTTCTATTCTAATTATGTACTCTTCGGTGCACCCAAAAGTACGAATGGTGTACCGGAATAAAGTCCACAAAAATGCGAGATATAAGTAACTTGAAGCAACTATCAAAATAGGAAAACTTGAAACCAGTAGTGACTATTTCGTCCATTGTTCGCCGCTCCATAGCTTCACTGTTGTCCACAAGAAATAATCCCGGCCCTTAATAAGCCATATCAAGAAACTTGGGAGCTTATAGCCCATCACAGCTCCAACACCTTTGCACTTGCCGATCGGCACCAATTGTGCCTCGCGTGTATCTTCCTTGAAAATAGAATCCTCGCCGGTTTCGGCCTCAGTGGCACCGTGAGAGAGAAGCAAATCCCGCTTGATGTTGGCGCAGAGAATTGGCACAGCTTGAAAGATACTATGCACTGTCGGGCGAGAAAAAGACGAGGCGTCACCAATGGCGTACACCCTCATTCCAGCCTTTTCGACACGCAACGTTGACCTGTTCGTCTCAACTCGTCCGTCCGGGGCAAGAAGCATCTCTTCGAGGAATCCCGTATTGGGTGTGGTACCGGTAGCAGGAATATACAGGTCGGTTTCAAGTACCTGACCATTATCCAATGTCACCGTCGTAGGAACCGCTATTTGGTCGTTCTTGTCCTCGCCTGGAATTGAGGGCTCTGCCTTCTTCACCCGAACGTTCCTGATAACGGTCACTCCAACCTTGGCCAAATATTTCTCGGCCGTTTGAGCGATTTCCGAACGGAGTACCGGCAAAATGTTTGTTGTCGAAGTAACGATTTTGATGTCAACTTTGGGCGGGTTCGGCCTCGAGCTAAGCCATCGAGGTGGCCCATTCAAGTACTCTCCAAGCTCCCCAGCTGTCTCTACCCCCGCAGGACCGCCGCCTGCTACCACGATGCTTTTTGCAGTGGGGAGTACTTTTCGTATGGCAGCCCAGCTACTGCGAAGCTGCGGGACATCATTGTTGAGACCGAGGGCTGGAGATGGAGTAGAAGCGCCCGTCGCAATTATCAGAGCATGATAATCAATTGATTCCTCTTGTCCGGAAGATAAGTTAATTGATACCACCCTTTTTGTGTGGTTCACGGCGGTAACTCTGCCATGAAGACATCGAAACCTACCATCGGGGTATTTGGTGAACATTGAGGAGATGTCGACAAAAAGCTTCTCTTGCGGGAAAAAATCGTCTGAAATCAAGGCTCGAGGACAAGCTTGACGACATAAGGCCTGTGATGAAGCGCTCACTAAGATCACCTCATATGGACCTGGCCCGGATAATTTGGGGAGAACATTTTTGAGCAAGTAATGAGCAGTAGAGATTCCGCCATATGACCCGCCAAGAATCAAAATATTCTTCTTGGGGGAAGTCTGGATGGACATCGGAAAGATGAAGATCAGGTGGAGTTATTGAGAAAGAATCGAGAAGTTCAACTTGGAGTTTTTCAAGTTATACTTCCAACTTGACTGGAGGCTGAGGCTATTTAGTAGATAGAAATGTCCAGGGCAATCTACTAGTAAATATACTAGAAGTACGAGGTATGCTCGGTTACTCGGACCGAGCTGCGGACGAACTCCTACCACTAACTACTAGTTAGTAGTAACCTTGGAACGAACCAAAGCCATCAGGCATTCGTCCGAGCTTTCGCAGGGGATTCGGCCGAATTTATCCGAGCACTTAGTATCGTTGGCATTTCCAATAGTTAGTTATTGCATCTACATGGTACATCCTAGGGGGCACCAATGCAAAGGCTAACTTTAATTTCCGAAATAACACGAGACTTGAATATACTTAGGTATATACTACCTGTTCTGGCGGAGTGTTGTAACCATTACGAGTACTGAACTGCGGAATGGCCCCGGCAATTCTCCAACTTCCTCCAATCTCCATCTCCACCCACCACAAGCTGCCACGAGCTCTGCCTTCAAGGCGCAAGGCAATGCTACGGACTCTAGCCCCGACTACATTTGGCTAGATGCCTTTCCCAGGAGTGAGCCAATTCCGCTCTGTTCTGCTTCACAGCGCTGACACGTCGTGATTAGACCCCGTCTCCATTTCGCCTGTCTCGCCGCCAACCATCGACGCGCAGAGGCGCCGGCCCTCAATTCTCCAACTCCCCACGATTTCTCCTTTCCCAGTCAACCCTGAGGAAACATAATGAGCTGGAAATCGACGACGAGGATGGCAATAATGCTGCGCCGCCTTCAACTGCCAGAGCTTCCCGAACCACAGCTCCATCGCTTCCCCCACCACATCGGCAGCGAGACGTGATTGAGGACTCCGATGATGACGAGGCATATACAGAGGAAGGAATCCACCGATATGAACGCGACAGAGAAGAATCGGTCGGTGACCAAACTCATAGTCAACAATCGCGAACATTACAGCTCACCCGCCGTTGCTGGCTGAGGTGAGAAAAGGATCTGTGTGCCAATTAGAAGAGAGCGGAGTAAAACAAACAACAACAAACTACGTGGTGGGTCCAGAAATCCAGCACAAGGGACGGGCAAAACGAAAGACGAAAGTGAGTGAAAAGACGTGGATGGATCTTGGTCGAAACTGGAATACTCTGCGAGCGGAAGGATGCGCCTCAGAAAGCAAAACTCGCGGACCCAAATGAGGCAGAGTCGCGTGACTCCATGCTTACTTCGAGGAAAAAGCATGGTAGAGTGCAATGTACTGTAATAGAAATCCCTGTGATGGGTCACATGCTATATCACCAGAACGTACAGCGGTGCGGGGTGGACGTTTGCCTAAGCATTCATATTCGAGACACAGGGCGCGTCTTCACTTTTTCAGCGGACAGATCTGGCTTTTGGGTTTTCTTGTCCTCTAAACTTGTATGTTGCTATAGTATGTGAATAGAGGCTATATAGGTTTCTCAGAACGGCTCTGGAAGCACGTTCATGCATTGGGCGCGTTATTAGTAGTACGACATGATTGGTCCTACGCTACTCCTTGCTCCACTTTGGAGAAGCATAGAAGCATAACCCTGCCCTGTCCCTGAAGAAGCATTGTGCTATACTGTACGCACTTGTTAGATCAACGCGATTTCGGGCCATTCTGAATCAGAATTATGGAACAACAGGCATCAAAGCGCTTCAGAACGAATTTGTCGGGACGAAAAATAAATCGCAACAGTTGACTACTCATTTGACCACTTAAGTACATGCGGTGATGCTACAAATCTCCTATCCTTAGCATCAAAACTGGATAGACTTTTCATATCAGGGGACATGTCGTATACGGATAATGGAGGGAGTTGTGTCGAGGAAGACTCTTCCTCAGAAACAATTTTCATCTGCGATCTCGCATCCGAGTTTGGATGGTTACCGCCTTGCTGGTATTACATGGTCAGGTTACCCTATAAAGTGTCCCCATAAGTCCGGCACCACACTAGGGCGCTTTTATGCGTCGGCCCCCTAACTTTTTTTCTCTTCCACAACCACCACATGGTCTCTTTTGGTCAGCATTTAGCTGGAAAATGTGCCAAAAAAGCTGAATTATCCCCTGGCTAACGAGCAGCTATTTTATATAGCTTAGAGTGTGGGGTTTCAGTTTCAAATCTTGCAGCCGATTTCGGGTGCCGACGATCTACAATATACCGGACACGAATTCGCTTCCAATAACAGAATAACCTATTCTCACGCGCTCACAGCGGCAGACCTCCACCGTACAGTGATTTAGTTATCTGATACATATTTTAACTTGCCTGTAAACATCCTGGTGGTCCTATCGACAGCGTCGCGCTAATTACCCTCAGTCCCCCTCCCGCAGCATATTATACTCGAATTCTCTAGCGAACAGCACTTCAACGCTATAAGTCAAGAGAATGAATCCCAGTTACATTATCACAGCATTTAAACGAAGCAATTTGGTACTCTGGGCGTACTGATAATTTTAAACTTGTCGATCGCTGCCATAGCCACTGGGTTGGGGGCTGCTAGGTTTCGCTGCAGATGGAGAGTGGGAAGATTTTCTAGGGGAATTTGGACGCGGTATACCTCCCGGGAAATAATTCGGAAGACGATGACATTCGTCATTTATCCACTATGCGGAGGAGCTCGGGTCTGTTCTCCATCAGATCCAGGCATTGATCCAGGACTAAATTGTCTTGATTAAAATCTGGGGTGTTAAAGCCGTTGAAAAAGGGAAAGCCATCTACCGTAGAGGATCTCTTCTTCCCAAATGCCCATCTGGTAATCGACGAGACCGTGCGCCTCAAGTTGGTCACAAATTTCGATCAACTCCATGCCTATGACCTTAAGGTAAACCTGGCTCAATGGCATCGCTTGCGCCGACTGCGCCCCCTTCGCAATCAAGTCCTGGGTCAAATCCTTTTGCTTCTGACAAAAGCAGAGCCAGTAAAGGTTAAGGTCGTTCCAGAGCTGCAGATGACCAGGATATAGGAGTGGGTCGTCCTGCAGAAGTCCTACGTAATACCGTAAAAGCGATTAGTCACTTACTTCTCCGTCAGACTACCTCCCAAACGGGCTATCCAATGATGCATGTATGAAACGTGCCTATAGCCTTGAAAAGAAGGGCCAAAGCCAAATAAACCTGGGGCAAGAAAAGGGCCAATTCCTGATTACGATTAGTATGACAGCTATCTCATTTGCCCAACTTTGCCCCCCCAATCGAGTTTGTACCTTTTCGAAGAAAAGTCAAATAATGAAGAGGAGCTCAGCCTACCAAGATCGCGTGCATTAGTAACAAGCCACTCGGAAATTTTTAGCAGTGACCGGCTGGCTTCCACCATTCGCCCAGCCCGCGTGTGTTCTAAGACGCTGCATATTGCTTGCTGGTACTGGGCATCTATCTTATCGAGGCTTGAAGGGCCCGTCGTAGTTGGCTGAGGTGGATCAGCCTGCTTCTGGACAGGCGATGAAATCAACTCGCATAGGGGCTCGGTCTCGATTTTAGTGAAATATTTCATGATTGTGGGAGAGGCTTATGTGAGGCCCAGATTTCATGGGACTGGGGTGATGATATACGACCAACTTCATGTTCGGATAAGGCAATAGCCGTGAACCTTCTCCGTAATGTTTGGAACGGCAAAATATTTAGTTGCAGGCTTCCGTGGTAGGGAGTATCAGATGGTGTCCAAGGGTCCTTGTGCTTGACCCTGCTGACGACGCCGGACAATATCGCCGAGCGTAGGACCCCTGTATGGCCGTTAATACAGAGGACGCAGCGGGAATTCCCACTCAAACCCGGGAAAGCAACGCATTATGTGGGAACTTGTTAACGTAGCCCTCTCCTGCAGAGTTCAATTGGTATCGCAGCTGTCCCCTGCGAATTCCCTTGTGGTGTGATACGAGGCTGGTGCAGATCAGGAATCGAACCGCACCATCGGAATTAATTTCCGCATTGTCTATACGAAGAGCCAAGTTGACTTCCAATCAACTTGTTCTTCTCGTTGTGTATATATAGCCTAATGTTTCCCTTTGAACAATAAGATAATTAATGCCTCTGAACTACAACACTGCTGTCAAGTCCGCATCGTTCGGTAGCGACACGAGAAAGGAGCATTCTTCCGCTTGCGGCTGCATTGAGCATAGCGTAGTTTGGGGGGAAGCAGTCATCTTCGCATCAGCGGTTTGACGACATGGTCAGTTGGTTACACAGAATTTCCAGCGATGAGAACGTGCTTGCCAGCTTCGTTTGTAAAGCAAGCCATGGTGGCAGCTTAGAATCGCCGTCTGCATTGGGACAGGTCCAAAGCAATTTGCCGTTGAATACACTCGGTCTCGTACCAATTATCAGCAGCTGACAAAATCAAGAAGTGCTCGATATCTTTTGCCCCAGGATGATAAAGGAATGTTTGAGAACGACCGTTCTGCTGGTGAGAGCTCAGGTACTTATAGTTGTACCCAGCCCTTACCCTTGCGCTGATGTAATGATTGCTGCAAATTGTGAGGGTCTCAACACCACTGACCCTCAGATTGCAGCTGGTTTAAGATTCAACCATTGATTTAAGCAGTATTGGGCGACATCACGGCTTTTTGTTGATGATTGAGTATATCCAAAAGCCTCCCTCACTGTTGTTCTTGCTTCAACACTCGCAGCGATACCGCAGAAAAGCGCCGACGACACGTTTCAACATTCATCAACATGGGTCCGTACGTTATTGCGACAGGAGGGGCGGCAAGCGGTCATGCCATTTCGTTCCACTCACCGATGATGAGCGCAATATTTTACTCGATGAATGTCCCATCTCCATGTTATGTAAACATCAAGTTATAGATGCGCCTCTGGTTACGTGCTAACCGAACCGCAGAGTTGTTAATGTTCATTCGGATTTGATATCTATCTTATCACAGCTGAGTACATTTTGCCTAAGCACATTTTACACGATAGCAGGCAAATACAAGTTATGGTGCGGCTTGGCCCTGTCCTGCACAAACTCTATATCAAAACTGCGGGGACGCACTCCTTCTGCACAGCTGATATGCGAATGGTAACAATACTTACTGGGGCAGCGTGGCTCTCTAGGCTATCTCAAGACTGGTCTAGGCCTAGAATGATTGGACTAGGAGGGAAGTAGTACGAAGAGCCAGCTCATATGACATGTACCCTTCTGCGTCGCCTGTGCTCTTCAGTAGGCCGTCCTGTGACTGATTTCCTCTTGAGAGGACTCTCCCACGAGCCGAACCCTCTCGAAAGAAGTCTCTTCTTCTCGGACTCCTAAGTGGCCCTAGCTCTTGACATGAGCTAGCTGGAAATAATCTGTTGGACGGCGATGGGTAGTCAGATCACCGGTGGCGGCCACCTCACCGCTCGGCAATCGCGCCGCGCTGCACATTAACATGTGGACTTACTGGTCCGGTCCCGTTATCATCAACCCTCACTGACCTCCAGCCCTCAACATCAACACACCATCAATCACCGTTGAACCTCACCTGCAACCCTCATCTTCCCCCTCACCCTCAACCGTTACCCTCAACATGTTCCACTCTCGATGTCCATAATACTCGCCTCTCCGGAGAAACTCTACCGCCGCTCCTAGGCAAAACACAAGCATTCCCACCAATGGAGACAACTTTGAATTACAGCCGTCGCCCACATTGGCCACCACGCTATCATACACCAAGATCTCAACCGGCCCCATGACTCAATATTCTAATTTACACCACATGAAAGACAATGCTCATTCTCCAAGCCCAGGGCGTGATTTAAGGCTAAAAAATACCCTACGTGAACAAGGAACACGAATAGTGAACTCTACAAATAGGCTGAATCACATAAAACACAAAGTTTCTTAGCGAATTCTTAATTTCTATGGATTCTTTGGAGCAGGTCTTGGCTTCTTCGAGTCACTCCCCCGAATACTAGTCTCTGACACCACGAAGAGGTGCCTGCAATCGCCAGAGGATCAGGACGAGCACCGTGGCGCCACGGGTCGCCTAACAAGCACAAATTTGATAACGCAGGGCTCAAGGCTGCATGGAAGCTCAAGATTATACAATCACAGGGCTCAAGGCTGTGAGGGAGAACTTGGTATCGCGGCGGTCTCCAGCGCGGAGACTCTTGATATCGCAGGCGTCCCTGCGGAGCACATTTATACAACGCAGGGCTCATTGGCTGTGAGGGAGCACAGTTATACAACACAGGGCTCATTGGCTGTGAGGGAGCGCATTTATACAACACAGGGCTCATTGGCTGTGAGGAAGCACATTTATACAACACAGGGCTCATTGGCTGCGAGGGAGCACACTCTTACAATCGCAGGGCTCATTGCTGCGAGGGAGAACTTGTCGACGCAGCACTCTCCTGCGGGTCTCCCTTGGTAACGCAGCGTCCCCCTGCGAGGCAGACTTGAATACGCGGGGCCTGTACCGCGAAGAGTTATTGGTAACGCAGATCTTATCCTGCAAAGAACACCCGAGTGGCTCGGGAGTGTGAGGAGGAAAGCCCTGCTTTTCTTTTCGACGGGAAAAGAGCGTCTTTTATGCCATTCCGGGTACGTTTTTCGGCAGCGACCACTTGCGTACATTTTGCCGGGCCCAGAGATCTTCATTCGAAATTCGCACTGAGCGACCGCCTTTTTGCTGGGTGTTGAGGCGGTTGATTCAACGTTGAAATAAGAAATTTCAAGAGTTTGGAGTGGAGAGCGGGCGGAGTGGCTGGATCCACCTGGAGCCGTGGTTGACATGATGCGATGCGTGACAAATCATTCCTCTCATCAACGTTGATTCACCTTGGTCAAACGGCCTTCGACGCAGTTGGTATGAGGCTTAGACCGAAGTGGCATTCCATGGACCACTCGCCGTGGCAGCTTAATCATCGTAGCTTGAAAAGTCTGCCAGTATTCGCTCGCACCGTGGCCAATCGATTTGCGAATCATTGGTCTCAACATTGCTCAACGATGTGAAACGGTTTTCACGCAGCTAATATGTAGAGTCGTTCCATGGAAGACTCGCCTTAGCAGATCGATTGCCCGCCCGCGGAAATCTTCGCCAGCAAAATTTTTGCTCTCGCCTCCGTGAGAAAAAAATGCTTTCCCTCAGCCTGGCCGACATATTTTCCGCCGCAAGTCGCAGTCACTGCAACGCCTCCTGCCGCTCAGATCTTAATTTCACTTGCCAGCACAGGACGACCAGGGTACTTCGTGTGCCCACACCCACAAGCCGGCCGAAAAGGTACCATCGATGAAGATATGTCGACGCCGACTCCGCTGTCGGAACATGGTTTCCTCGAGCCCCAATAGAGACTCCGCTGCTGCTCAGCATTCATGGTCTCCACAATCAATCCGCTACCGGTGAATAACCTCGGGGTTTTCTCGAAATTGGATAATTCCATACTTGACTGTCGAAGGTCTTCGAAACGCTTTTTGGAATATTGCCGGGGATTGAAAGCTAAGGGTAAGCTAAAGCTAAAGGTCGGAGTGCCTTCGCTAATTACGGTCGATAGAGTTCGTAGAGATTCTGTTCCCCATGCTAGGACTGACTTTGATGCCTATCCGTTTTCGAGCGCAGCATATCATCCTCCAAACTCTACAACATCACCTCGAGCATTCCGCCTTCCAATTTGTTCAAAAATGCCGTCTACCACAGTCTTTGGCTGTTGGCTGGACATGCCCCGAGGCGCTGGAGCTGCATAAATTCTTTAAATTTTTAGCTAAGAACCGATCGAAGATCTCGACTGAGTAATGCTGTGCAAATATCACCCCTGTTCAGAACTTGCGCCATTCCATCGCGAGCATCCGCCACGCCGCTGTTCATCGCTTGACCCAAGACAGAGATAGTCTGCTTGAGATGGTTTATGCCGCCATCGAATTTTGCCTCTGCATCGGCGGGAGTCCTGGCGCGGAGAAGCTCTGTGGTCTCCTCAGATTCCTACAGAAAGCCCTTCCCAAGCCAAGCATAAAGCAAATGCAGTCACAGCAAACTACTCCGTTTCAAGCTTCTTTGCCTAATTTACCTCTCCGTGATCCACCGAACCAACGATTGATTACACTTCCGGACGTGATCGGAAGACTCGTGGAATGTATCGAGAAGGACCTGATTTCGGAGGTGGAAAAATTCTTGCAGATTGAGTTCTCGTGAGGCGCGGCTCATGGACCGGTCCGATTTTATGTTCGGGAAATTATTGAATTGCGATGTACCTGAACGTGGCAAACCCAAGCATGTACTCCAAAATTCGACTTCCCTTTTACTTTTCCTTAGTCGACCTCAATGCTTGTAGGCTCCTAAACGTATAGAAAGTGGGCATCTCCGTTTGAACACAGTATTTCAGGAATATCTCCCATATGTGGAGGTACGCTTAAACAGACGATCAGATCTACGTCGACAAAAATATCATGAGAGCGGCCCACCCGCAGGAAATCCCTCAAAATATTTAAACAGCATCAAGATACGCTTGCACTAGTTTTAAGATACAAACACATGTAGCAGGAGTTTTCGTTGTGACGGTTCTGAGTGCTTTCTACCGGGCATTCTGGAATCCGGACCAAGCCCGGGTCCCGTGAATGCACGTGACCATGGCGCTCCAGGAATGGTTGGCTTTAGGCCTCGCCAAACGCGGGTTCGGGGCGGGTTTTCATTTTTCCAACCCGCCCACGGGTAACCCATCGCGGGTTTTGCATTTCACAAACCCGCCCGTGGGTTTTTGGAAAATGTTCGCGGGTACCCAAATTACCCATCAAAATACATAATTGATGCACAATATATGATTAGTCAGTGTGTGTATTTTTGGTAATCTATTTTGGTACCGATTTAATATTGGAAATACAATCAGATAAGATATAACATCGGCTCCGAAATATATATATTGATAACGGACAGTAACTGCACCATGTTTCGGTCCGAATGTCTCCCACCCTATATCATCAAATGCTACAACGGGATACCCCAAACGTAAACTTAGCCTAGTCAGGCAAATGTCTTTTATGTTAAGACCATTACTCGATCTAGATATAAAAGCTGCTTAGACACCAATAAACGCGTTCCTGGGGTCGTTCACAGTCGCGCGGGTTTTGGGTACCCGTGGGTTGACGCGACCCAGAAAACGCGCCGGAAAAAAAAAGATGCAATCTACAAGGCTATATTATCTCTCACTAGACAACACCGTGTTAGATTTGAAGGCTGAACCTCGATGACATTGAAGACAGAAAAATGTCATCGCTATTAACTGATCGATCTTTAAGTCCCTTAGCCTCTATTGAACCGTCATCCGATTCCTTTCTGGACTCCGATTTCCAATCCTCGGTATGAAAATTGAGATTCTGCACCATAGAATTCCTTTCACCCTCCCCCCAACTCGAGCGAACATGCTAAGAGACCACGTAGCCTAATAGGGAGCTCCGGCGAAGCATTGATGCATCCAGCCAACCACCCCCGCCGATTCTAAAGCGCGTAGGACCGAACCGCAAAAAGAACTGGATCTTGTACGAATCAGAGAACTCGATGGAATTTCTGATCTGGTGGGCCAAAACGGAATACGGACAAGTGCTAAATAGTAAGGGCCGGTCAAGAATCAAGTAGTCAATAGAGTCGCATTATACTAAAGTTTGGAGACGCTTCGACCAAGTTGCCAACATCTTAACTGGTCGACCCAAGGTGATTTGCAGGACTTATTTGACTTTGCTAGACCACCCACAACATAAGAAGCACGGGACAAACGCAATAGGAAAACACCAGAAATCCAAGTCTTGTCGACAGGGCCAGAAAAGAACCTACCGTCAGACACTCGCAACAAACTCCATTCAGAAAGCTTTCCTAGGGGCTTCGTCCAATTGCAAGAAATTCACTACATTACAGCTTGAAGAAAGGTTACTGAAGACGATAGCCATTTTACGATTGCCTTTCCAGACTATTGAAAATCCCGAGTTCCAAGCCCTACTCAATTTAGTTCACTCTGGCCCAGGAGAATTAGAAATTCCTTCGGCAAAGACTCTACAACGTCGCTTACGTGACTCTATTGCAGCCCAACAAGAGATTCAATTACGAGACTTACCCGAAGATACAAAAGTTTCTCTTGCACTGGATTGCTAGACTAGCCCTTTTCAGCAAGCATTTATAGCAATTACAGTATACTTCATCGACAAAGATTAGAACTATCGTGAAATACTTCTTGGGTTTGAGCCTCTACACGGAGCTCACAGTAGGGTCAATCTGAACAAAGTACTTCTTCAGGTACTTAAGGACAGACGACTTCTGGATCGGATCTTCAGTGTGACTACAGACAATACAACAAACAACGAGACTCTCATCCGGGCCTTACAGGAGTCACTTCTTTCGAGCGGTGCCATTAGTACAAGGGAATCCATTGTACGCATTCCATATATGGCCCATGTGATTCAGCTTTGCCTGAAGCAACTACTAGGCCATATCAGAGCCACTCCAAAGAATAAAGAAGTAAGAAGGTTTTGGTCTGACACCCAAACTGTCTACCTAAGAGATTCCCTAGAGCATAGCGATGTAGCGCATACTCTCGCAAAGGTATGTTTGACCCGGAAAATAACCACAGGAATTTTTGTTAAAGATTTTCTTCTCCTTATAATAGATCCGGTCTTTTGCCGTCTTTGTGAATGCAAGCCCACAACGACGAGATGCATTTCTATGTCTTCAATCAGGTGGAACTCGGCTTTTCCCCCTCCACGACGTACAGACCCGCTAGAACTCTACTTTTTTGATACTCCAAAGAGCGCGCCGGCTCAGGAACACCATTAATAAATACTGCCGAGACCATGAATATAGCCAATTCAAAGTCACCGATACCGAGTGGCGGCAAATCGACTACCTGGTCAATATAACAAGGCCGTTCTTCAAATTTACCATAGCTCTGATAAAGACCAAAGATATAACTATCCATAGTGTCTTTCTTGTGTATAGGAAGCTTCTGGAACACATCAAACGCTCAAACCGGAAGCTGAGAAAGAAAACCACACCCTGGAAAAAAGATATATACAGTGCCATGCTCATGGCAAAGCAAAAGCTAAAAGATTATTACGAGAAGACCTATCGTGACCATAGATTTCTCTACGGTACAGCAGCTTTACTTGCTCCTCAGTATAAGCTTTATACTTTTAATGATACAGAGTATTCGCAGTGCATTAGCGAGACTTCAAAAAGATATTGTAAATATCTACGATCATCTTTTGCACAGTATCAACAAAGAAACCCAGAGATGCTATTCCGTGCTATACAACGCCCTTCGTTACAAGCCTCAGAGTTAGAACGGCTTCTTAAACCAATACACACAGTAGAAACAAGCGAAGGAGTCAGATATAACGAGGTTAATCATTATCTCCACAAGTGTAAGTATATCTGGCTCAATCAATCTAAAAGACCGTTAACGTTCCCAGCAACTACCTCAATACCACCACATATATACTAGAGAGAGAATGAGAGTAAATTCCCCGTACTTTCACGGCTAGCTCGCGATTTACTCTCAGTTCCAGCCACTGGCACAGGAGTTAAAAGACTGTTCAATAGTACCCGGGATATTTGCCATTATCGCCGGGGATCTCTAAATAAGACTACAATACAAGACTTGATGATATACATATGCTCTGAGAAATTCACCCTAGAGAGCCAGCAATCGAGTCTGTTGGATCATAGGATAGCGGAAGAGGAGGACCAGGAAAATCTCGAAGAAAATAAGGCAAACAAGGAAACCAAAGATAAGAATACAGCTATCAGCAATATAGACGAAAGTAATCTAGTCGAAGATACCGATATAAGCCCCACTGTTCAGAGTGTTCTGGGATTTGAAAGCACCGCCTCACAGGAGCTTCCATCTCACAGTCAACCGCAAGATGTGACGATGACGGCTATTCGTCCAGATCCAGAGAGCGATGATGAAGATTTGTTGCCACCTCCAGTTACGCATCTAGGAGAGAGATATCAAAAAAGATCATCAGGGAGGATAACAGTGCCTTCAAGCCGACTTGAAGGCTATGAGCTATATTAGTTAGTCTCCTCTAGTCCTATAGTTTGATGTAATCTCTTAATATAACCACTCATCCCAAGATATAGACCTTTATGTAAAGCGAGGTTGTGATTATGTTATGGTTGGGACTTTTAGAGAAGCGCAGGTTGAATCTATTCTACTCATACCGGGGCAATACGTTGATCTAAACGAATAAGTTAGCATAATTTTGTGCTAGCTGACAAATCCTTCCCCTTTTGGAGTCATGGGTAATTTGGGTACCCGTATGGGTCGCGGGTTGGGTTTTCAAAAAACAAACCCGCCCACGGGTCTGCTGACTAAGACCCGCCCCGACCCGTGGGGCGGGTTTTCGTGGGCGGGTTCGGGTTTTGGGGCGGGTCTGGCGAGGCCTAGTTGGCTTTTGGTGACAAATCAGTAAACCGCGGCCACTCAGCAGGTGCGGTGTGCAGGGTCTGTCACTGTGATCGTCGGTTCTCTCTCCCGCTGATTGCTCATACCGCTGAATTTACAAGTTGACCGCACGCCATCTCCTCTAATTTGAAATTCTTTATATCCACTTGCTTCATACAACGATTTTGCAGAAGCATACCCTTGTACACCTAGCCATTTCTTCGCCAATCTTATCCTCAAGTCAGATTGCTGTACTTCTGTCTATAATCGAAGGTTCTTGCTGAGGCTGGATTCTCTGTTTCGAAGGTAAGCATGCGAGATTTCTTACCATACCATCTTATCGAGCCAGTCCTCATTTCATACTCTTGCGATATGCAAAGGCTCATATACAAAGTAGATCTTCCCAGTGGCCGAAAGTAGCGCGACGCAACAACCGCTACAACCCACCATGCCTGTATCCATACTTGACTCTGTTGATAGCAACCCTTTGACCCAGATTACCATGGAAGCCTATACTCTCGCCATGGTAGCGCATACCCAGTCCCAAATATCGTCTCTTGTGGGTCTGAGCGAAAATCATGGAGTCAGCCAAAGAAACTCTCGCGATGTCCCCACCAGCTGTGTGCGACACCAAGGGTCCGTTCCTCCCAAAACAACTGAGACTGAAGCCACCGGACGGCAAGCTTTCAACGGCACGGAATATACTTAAGCTTAATTTATAAGACTACTCTTATGCGAAGCCGGCATAGTAACGAGGCTGTTAATGGACTTTCCGGGACATGTGCTTAGTGATTCTGTGCTAGCGCACCTATTTCGACGAAAAGGCAGGCACAAGAACTTAGGAAACTAACCCGCCAGCCCAGAGTGAAAAAATAAAAATAAAAATAAAAATAAAAATAAAAAAGATTTACCTCTAGGCTTGGGGGAAAGGGAAGGGTATTAGGGAATGCACGGGCTTCGAAAAATAGTGGGCCACAGAGCTACTAAGGCTTTGTGACACATGTGGATCATTCGTGGCACCGATTGGCTCATTATTCCTCCGTAAATATCACTCTATTAATGGTATCCAATCATTGCATCATTATTTATGACCCACAGGCTCCTGGGAGCCAAGCCCAATTATCAACCAACCATTTCATTGAAGACTTATGCGCATATGGGCCTTTGACACTAATTGGCTGATGTTTCCTTGTAGTAATCATCTTCCCGCGTCCACTCAGCTCCCAGGAGACCAATGTAAGTATTGCTACATGCAAAGACGAGGTCGATAGCAGAAACAGTTGTTCTGCGAAAACATAATCGATCTAGTGACTCGCTAACTATACAAGGAGCTCTTTCGCGAGATGTGGGCTGTGCGGATCAGCCCCGCGCCGTACCACAGCTTGTATCTACTTGATATTGTGTAGGTGTGACGCATTTTCTCCGATATGTGAAGTAGGTAATGAATAACCCTACGGTTTGGCTGATTGAAATCTAGGGTAGCAATATAGGATAGTGTATGCCTGTCTTTAATGAGGTATTCATTGCGTGGAGTGACGGGCTCATCACTGATGAGTGAAATGAAATGACATAATCTGGTTACCTCGACCGTCGCAATAAAGGGCAGACACACGGTGGTGAATGTTGATAACTGTCATCAATTCTTTTCTGTGGTATCCTCGCGACTGTTTACACGATGCGAACAGCCAAGAAAAGTTTTTCATGTTCCGGATCACTAGGCTCAAAATACAATTCCTCTGAGAGCTGCTTTGAACCAGTGATGAAATGTTGAGCCAGTTATCATTGAAGAGTAGTTTGAGCTTGGGCCCTCACAATTCATAATGATGATCTCATTGACGCAGACCGAATGCCTGGCTGAATTGCTATAAATACCCAGTCCCTCGCCAGCAGAACAGTTGTTCACAAGCATCCTTTATGATTTTGGGTGAAAGAATATCGGGCGTGATTCGTCTCCGTGGCTACTCTTTGGTATCGATTGACCTCCAAATTATGCAATGAATTGAACTAATCTGTTGTATCTCGGTAGCCTAACCTTTCATGATTATCAAGTCTTCGAACAGTGAGTGGAGCTGCCAGTCATTTGATAATATGCTAACGCGAAAGATGCTCAATATTAGCCCCGCCTCTGCTATTCCGCTGAGCACTCATTGAAGAAACTTTCGGGATCCTAAATGGTCCAAGCTGCGAGCACAGTGAGTTACAAGTTGCCTTCATGAACTGCCTACTGATGATTGATGATAAATAGATACCATCCTTCATACAGTCCCCTGTAGCGGACAGCAAGAAGTGACAACGTAATTTCAAAGACTGCAGCAATTTCAAAGGCAGATATCATGTGCTGATGACCCTCTCTGTAGGATGGAGATGGCGAGCTTTCTATCGCGAGTCGCTCAATTTCTTGTAAGTCACGCTAGTGCTTTGCCTCTGCCCATTCCCGACGCCCGGTACTGCATTTTCGATCTCAAAACAAACGCTTTCCGTTCGTAGCTCTCCATTCCTTAGAAGATATCGCTGATGATTCTTTTTCTTCATATGGCGCGCGTCCATATTACCCTTAACCTGACAGAGCTTGTACCCCCCCTCATCTTCGAAACTGAACCAGCTTCAACAACCTGATGGGCCAAGCCACTGAATCTCTCTACGCTTGTATCTTTGTTGTTTCTGAAGACGTGGTTGACACGGCCACTTCGCCTAGCGCATTCAGCAGTCCCAATTCAGAAAGGCTTGATGCCCTCTGCTTAGCTATATGGTAAAGCTCCAAAGTGTTTCATTTCGTCTCTTCGGCATCACCCTGTCCGAAAAAAGGTTAACAGTCAATGTATTGGTAACTCGCAATACTCTGACGGCTATGAACCTCCTGCCCCACGTCCGATCCGAAGGCTTGTTGGTGGCCATGAGCCTGCCTCACTGTTGAGCGAGCGAGCCATCAGAGCATCCGCGACAGCGAAGAGAAACCGAGAATCAACGGCCACAGAAAAAGACAACTATTTTCCCGAGCAGCATCAATCAGCAAATTGAAACGAGCCATTGGCAATATTCTAAAGGCCAGTTATTTCATTCTCTGATGTTAGCTGAGCAAGTGATAAGACAGGTCGTGGCTGAGATCGTGGTGGCCGCTGTTGTGCCACCTCGTAGCGATAAAGTACAGACCCATGTTGATGAATGTTGAAACACGTCGTCAGCATTTTTCTGCGGACCGCCGGGAGTGTTGAAACGGTGCCAGCAGCGAGGAGGGGGTTTTCATATACTCAATCATCAAGAAAAAGCCGCGATGCCTCCGAATACTGCATCAGATCAATGGGTAAATGTTGAACTAGCTGAAATCTGAGGGTCGGTGGTGTTGAGACCCTGGCAATTCGCAAGGGTTATTACATAGACTCGAGAGTAAGGGTTGGAAGCAATGCTATAAGTACCCGAGCTCTCGCCAGCAGAAAAATCGTTCTCAAGCATTCTCTTGTCGTTATGGGGCAAAGAATATCGAACACTTCGACTTCATCAGCTACTCTCCTCCAGTACGGACTGAGTCGACCCCAAACTGCCATGCACTTGTGATCGAACTGACCTGTTGTATCGCTCCTAGTCTGTCTATGCTCGACACTGAAATCTGTAAACGGCAGGTAAGTTTAGTGACCCGATCATTTGAGACCATGCTAACATGGAAAATGTCGAATATCAGTTCCGTCTCGGCTGTTCCTCTGGGGATTCAATCAACGGACCTGGAATGGTCTCGATAATCAACTCATGTTGCGAAGACAGTGAGTAACGAAAGGCCCCCATAAGCTACCTACTGATGGTTTATCATATATCGAAATCAGCCACCACCAAGTCGACTTGATCGAACTAGAACGTCACACGCAGCAGTAGCTGGCAAAGTATGTTTCAATCACTCCGGCAGTTTCGAGAGTAGTTAGCCTGTGTGGATCACTCTCTGTATAGGAAAGCGATTGTTTTACCATGAGCCAGCCCCTGTCTCGTAAGTTGCCCCATGCGTTGCCACTGCCTATTCTCAACGCCCGGGACTGCGTTTTAATTCCAGTGCGGAGACTACATGTTTTTAACTCCCCGTTCTTGCGAAAAAATTGATGCTGCCTCTTTCTTGCCATGAGGCGAACGTCAATATTGCACTCGACATGACAGCGCTATATCCCCCATCGTCCTTGGAACCAAGCCAGGTGCACCAGCCTAATGTGCCAAGTCACTGACTCCCAGTATGCCTGTGCCTTGGTTGTTTCTGAAGACGTATTTGACACGGCCACTTCGGATGGCGTATTTAGCGGGCCCAATCCCGGAAGGCTTGATGTCCTGCTGTTAGCCATATGGTAACATTCCAAAATGTTTTCATTTCTTCAGCATTACACTGTTCGATCAAAGGTTAACTGTCGCTGCATTAGGAACCTGCTGTATTCCGGCGGCTATGAACCTCTTGCCCACGTCCGATCCGAAGACTCGTCGGTAGCCATGACTCTGTCCCATACTGAGACCGCCTGAGCCATAGCAGTATCCGGCGACAATAAAGAGAGGCCTAGCATTGACGGCAATCAAGAGGGACCACGGTTTGTATAAAAGCCGATTCAGCCAATGATGCATTAAATTACCGACCACGAGCTAAGGGCCAGCTCGATCAGGCCCTGATTGTAGCTGAGCAAGCGACAAGCCAGGCTACAGCACTGGAATTATGCCAGATCCCTCGCCGCGGGAGCAGTTGTTACAGGTCAGTTCCTAGTTTACCCTCGCCAAAATAGCATGAATCTCTCCTCCAGTGGTACTTTGTCCTGGCACGGTTGAAGATTTGCCTGGTGCACGAACAGCACATACGAAACAGCTATGCATTGGCAGGTATGGCTACATCCATTCCCCGTAGTACAGAGTGATCTCGGGCCCTCGTGCACGTGGGATCGAGCTGACGTCTGCTAGCTCGTCTCTGGCTTACCTTTGCTGATGCCAGACTATATTTACGGTAAGTCTGTACCGCCTCAAGCTACCAGAAATCATGCTGACATAGAAGAGTAGTAAAACACCGCCCTGGTTCGGCGAGTCCCAAGAGCCCGACCGGGGTACTGTTCGCAGCTGGTATCAGAGGATCTCATCTGGGGCATCAGCACGGTGAGTGGCGAACGACCACCTTACACAAGCTGCTGATAATCGGTACTAGATCGAATGCTCCCTCCTCAATGTTACCACCGAACGCCACGAACTCATCAGCAGAAGCAGCCTCATAAAGTACGGCCAGTCGATTGCCACGACGGTTAAATTTGCTCAATTATGATAAAGCCCAACAATTATTTTCGACCATCTCAGCTACTATATCGAAGATATCGCTCAATATTCGCTCATGAAAGCTCAAGCTTATCCGATTGGGAATACAGCACTAACAATCTACGAAATGGCCAATACTACGAAGTACACCCGCGAAATGTGACATCCAGTACCCTCGCCTTCTTGCACATTCACTAACGTTTGTTGATGCATCAAGGACAATTCATCTGGTCAGAATTCCATTCACACGGGCGTAACACTGAGATGACTCCAGCCTGATCAGTGTGGGCTGCCCGCCCACGATCCCCCAGTACCAGTGCCTGCTCATTACAACGCTGCAGGAGAAGGCCATTTTCAGCTTCTAGTTCCTCGTTTGACAGCCAAAGTTGGCATCGCTCGTTCTGGAGTCGGATATTCCCGGCAGATTGGACAACATAACATTACCAAAGACACAAAACACAAGTCGAACAGGTCGAGAGCTGGCTTCGCGACAGACGAGCCCAGGCATAGGATATTCTTGACCTCGATCGTCAAACGGCCGGCAGTGCCAGTGGTATTCTATTACGCATTAATTAGGCTCTAACTCTCTTGCTAGAAGACCCTAACCTTGCACTCGATACTTGCACCCCCCCCAGAGGTTCTCGGAACAGGTCATGTTGGTTGGCGGTAGCGTTATCCCCGGGTATTTGGAGAACCGACGAGGTCTTTTAGTAGGGCCTCTCGGCCGATGGAGGACGATCCGGTGTGTCTGTTGTGTTCACGAAGTGAGTTATATGTGCTGAATGACTGTCGGCACAGGTGTTTAGTATGGTATAATAAGATGGGCCAATGCGAAACCCCATGAAGTTCGGATGCCCGCAAGTATCAATCTTTTACCTGGAATGGCGTTATATTCCGATGTATGTCTCGATTAATGCACTTAGGACATATCCCATAGATGGGGAACAAAAGCAGGGTGTTGTAAAAAAAAAAAATTGAGGCGGAGAGAAAATCCCTCGCAACAGGTATCCGCTGCTGCCCTTGAAGCTATCAACGCCGCCGCTTTATGTAGGTTGGTTTTTTTTCTCAATGCATCACATTGTTGGTCTTTCATCATCCTACCTTTGTGCATCGTCTCTTATCCACGCATCATCACTGGTTCACATATCTGCTAGCCCTTCACAGCATCATGCTGAGATGTTTTACAATTCTTCTGTTAAAATTTGAGCAAGCCACCAAGTCTCCATTTTGAGGATGAGGCTGTACCTGCCTCGCGACGGTTACTGAGATCGTTGACCCGCTTCTAGGCCGCCTCATGAATTGGACCCTCGGCAAAATGCAGCGAAGTCCACAAACTGGCATGCCGCAACCTTCGGTTCTGCTGAAGCATGTCAACAAATAGAAGATGTCCCCCCTTCGATTGAAGTAACAAAGAGACCCCGAACCAACGATTCTGATGATTGAACCAACTGGGATATGGCATAAAACCCGCACCATCTCCGAGTTGTCTGCATTCCACTCGCTCCGCCTACCTGACTGGCAATTTAAGACGGTGAATGTCATATCGCATTCTCATTGGTCCTGTCATCCGCTCCAAGAATTCCATTTCCGCTCACCTATTTTGCTTCCCCGGCCGCCCGTGACGAAAAGGAATTGACGTTGCCTCGGGCGGCATCACGTTTTTTGGCTGTTATTCATTTTGGCGATGTCTCAACTAGAGCTGTTAACGATACGATATCGGCACTGTTTTCCCATATCGTCAATCGGCATCGTCAACTTCGAAGTCTGCCGATATCGTATCGGCAATCGACATCGACAGTTTTTTGAACTGTCGATACGATATCGGCAAATGATATTATCGTTGGCGATATATCGTCACCGGTAATTGGACAATAGGGGAATAGCTCCTGGTCCTAGATATAGGCAACTCTACTACAAAGAGAATGTAAGCTTAGATACTCGTTAATTAAAGCAATCCGCCTCCGTTGTGCAGTCCTACGTTGTGTTGTTTTCGTACTGTGTGGCTATACAGTCAACTCTCGTGGGCTGCACGCCTCCCCCGGGCAGAGGTTTTCCCTTGCACACACCCAATGTGTGTAGCCCATGAGAGTATTATGTCATGATTATATAAGATATACATGAAGCTTTTCCCATTTCGGTTTGAATCTTATCTCATCCCATCTACCTCAAGCTTCTCGAATGCATTGCTTACAGCCTCAATTAACGCTATATTATCCTCTGTGCGAAGTACAACCCTTCCTATGTGCAGCTCATAATGATAGATCTAATTAATATCTTAAAATCACCACATCAGATGGAGCCCCTGGTCCTGGCCCAAATATATATATCTCATGAAGATATGCCTCTGGCATCCAATTAATTATTCCACCGAATTTCTCTTGAAACATACTACATAAGCTTTCTGGGTAGGCTTAGACAGTAGATCAAATACAAAGATACGCAGGGCTTTTCTCTGAACATCAGTTATAGTCGCATTTGATTGTTTTGGATGGGATATCTTCGCTGAAAGCACGACCGAAGATCAGACGGAAGGGGCGGAGGGAGAGGCAGCGAGGTAGAATCCTGCATTATGATTGGTCGGGTATGCTGAGTAAGCGAGGATAAGGGGAAGAAAAAGTGTGCAGACCATGAATGGTGCAGCCCACGAGAGTTTTACATGTAAAAGTGGGGCAAATATAGCCCGGGCACGGGAAAAGTGTGCTGCTAACAAATGTGTGCACCTCACCGGCGTGCAGCCCGCGAGAGTTGACTGTATCATCATTCCTCTTCCAATTCAACGCCGGCATGTCGGAAATGACCTTCAGCGCTGCTTCTTCTGGCCCCTACAACATCTAGACTCCACTCAAGGAAGTCCTTAAAGCTTTGGCCTTGATGCTTTTGCCAATTCCGCCGAATAAATGCCTTGAGTTCTGCGAAGAACTCTTCAATTGGGTTTAGATCGGGCGAGTACGGTGGCAGGTATAGCAGCTTGACTCCGGCATTATCGCAAAGCTCTCTTATCTGATCAGTATGATGGAAATACGCATTGTCCATAATCAGGACAGACTTTGGCTCGGGCCATCTGCCGCAATGGTGAAGGAGTTGTTCGATGAAATCCTCGAACATGCTGGCATCGGTCGATCCTTGAAAGACTCGAAACATCAAAATGCCATCCTGGCAGTACGCAGGTAGGATCTGATATCGCTGACCCCGCTGGAAACGAGCCGTTTGAACAGGCGCCACCCCGCGAGGAGACCACCCTGTCCGCCTAAACCCAGCCCGTTTATCACATCCAGATTCATCTATATAGACTAAGTGATACGACCGGAACTCTGACAATTGGTGTGAATAATCATCTCTGAGATCCGCGTTTCTCTCTTGTGCTATTCGCCGCGCTACCTTTTTCGTCCAACCTTGTGACTGGAGGGCTCGACTGATTGTGTATGTAGACACAAGCACGTCAAACTCATCACAGAGAAACTGGGCCATCTCGTCTAGGTATAGATCCGGTTTCTCTAGCAGGTGATCGCACAGCGCGTTGAGCATGAAAGGGGTTATTATACGCGGTCGGCCGCCACGGATTGGAGGTGCTCGGACGTCGCCGAAAATTCGGAGGTTGGTACTGATGGTTATGATCGAACGTTTGCTACAGCCAGCCGCTTTAGCCATCTGTAATGTAGTTAAAGAGTTGCTACTGATCATATCACGGATCATTGTGAGCTGCGAGGATGCAAGTCGGGGCGCCATGGTAGTTGATATCTGCTGTCGGCTTTGAAGGTGAGAGGGGTGAATCAGACGGGAGTGATTAGCTTAGGACCGATCTTTCGGGCCGACAGTATTTCCGAAGGTGGAGCCATCATGAATGAACAACTCCATCTTCAAAATTAAGACAAAGTCAGCTGACAGTGGGGCTTAACGAACACGCTGTCTCTCCACCAACAGACCCCACTTGTCTCTCTTCATCTACGCTAGAAAGCCTTGATCATGGGCTTCACATCATCATTTGGTCCTAATAACTCTGGAATACAAATTGGGGTCAACAACGGCTCTATAACTTTGAGTATGTTACGGTCGATCCTTGAGTATATTATACTTACTGTGAGGCAGATCTCGACGAGGAGCTACCCGCCGTAGATGGGGCTGCGTTTGACTCATATGACCATCAACATGAAGAAAGATGTCTTCCAGGCACGCGAATCGATGTCCTCCGCCAGATTCAAGAGTGGGCCTTCTCGCCGCAAGGCAGATGCATTTTCTGGTTGAATGGGATGGCTGGGACAGGGAAATCGACTATCTCTCGCACAGTGGCGGAGAATCTCAGCGAAGCAAATTCCCTAGGTGCAAGTTTCTTTTTCAAAAGAGGCGAAGCAGATCGAGGTAGTGCTAAGAGGCTTTTTCCGACGATTGCAAGGCAACTTACAATTAGCATTCCTCAGCTGCTCCCTCATATCAAGCAAGCAGTCCTTGATAACTCAGGTATCATAGGGAAGGGACTAAAGGAGCAGTTTGATAAGCTGCTTCTCCAACCACTTCTGAGCCTTAAACAATCCGACCTCCCGGTGAATACAGTTGCAATAGTGATCGACGCATTAGATGAATGTGAAGGGGATAACGATATACGACTCATACTCCAGCTTCTACCACAACTCCAGAAGCTAGATACTCAGATACGAGTGTTCTTGACCAGCAGACCTGAATTGCCAATTCGTCTGGGCTTCTCAGAGATCGCAATCCAAGACCATAAAGACCTTATTTTGCATGAGATCTCGGAGAAGGTGATTAAACATGATATATCGCTGTTCTTACATCACCGACTGTCAAAAATAAGGAGTGAATCCTTTCTTTCTGACGACTGGCCTGGGGAAGAAAACTTGGAGAAACTAGTAGCATTGTCTATTCCACTCTTCATTTTTGCCGCCACTATTTGTCGGATATTTGCGGACCCTAGTTGGGACCCAATAGACAGTCTTACTGAGATCCTTGCCTACCGACATGATCAATCCAGCATGGATAGAACATATCTCCCTGTTCTAGATCGATTACTCTTCGGACAGACAGAGAGACAGCAAAGGCAGCTTGTCGAGGAGTTTCAGCAAGTGGTCGGATCAATTGTGATACTAGAGAGCCCACTATCTGTCATCTCACTATCAAAGCTTCTGAAACTCCCAGCACGGCTTATTCAGCTGAGGCTAAAGCCGCTGCATTCCGTTTTGAAGATACCAACTGATAGAACTTTGCCGGTCCGCCTCTTTCACCTGTCCTTTAGGGACTTTCTCCTGGATTCCGAAACCCGTGGCAAAACCTTACTCTCAGTGGATGAGAAAGCGGCTCATTATAAACTGACCATTCAATGCCTTCTCATGTGTCAAAGCCTGCGAAAAAATATATGTGAGCTCCCCACTGACGGAACCTACCGGGCTGAAATTGATAGCCTGGCTGTTGATCAGCATATTCCTTCCGAATTACAATACTCCTGTCGTTACTGGGTGTATCATTTATTGCAATGTAACAATCTCAGTGACGTGATCCATCCAGCTCTTCTTTTCCTGCAAGAGCATTTTCTCCACTGGGTAGAAGCAATGTGCCTTCTAGGTCTGGTATCAGAAGTTATAGGGATGCTTAATCTCCTCCAGGCGGCCATACCAGTGAGTTCGGCGAATACTCTTATATAATCAAAATATAACTAGGTATAGAGCGACCAGCATTCCGCCATGTCTGATTTTCTGCAAGATGCAGAAAGGTTTATTCTTAAGAATCGCCAGATAGCTGACGAGGCGCCTTTGCAAGTTTACTCTGCAGGACTCATCTTTGCTCCGAAAGGATCAATCATCCGAGAGAGGTTTAAGGGAGAGGTTCCAAGTTGGATATGCCAGTTCCCAAGAGTTGAGGAAAGTTGGAGTGCAGAATTACAGACTCTTGAGGGCCACTGGAGCTGGGTTAGCTCGGTCGCCTTCTCGCCTGATGGCCGGCTGCTGGCGTCTGGCTCTGAGGATAACACTGTGCGGCTCTGGGACCCGGTGACGGGCGATCTGCAGCAGACACTCAAGGGCTTCTCAAGCTCAGTTAACTCGGTCGCCTTCTTACCCGATGGCCGGCTGCTGGCTTCTGGCTCTGTGGATAAGACCGTGCGGCTCTGGGACCCAGTGACGGGCGATCTGCAGCAGACGCTCAAGGGCCACTCGGGCTCGGTTGACTCAGTCGCCTTCTCGCCCGATGGCCGGATGCTGGCGTCTGGCTCTGTGGATAACACCGTGCGGCTCTGGGACCCGGTGACGGGCGATTTGCAGCAGACTTGTGACACGTATGCAACTGTCTACGAGCTTGAGTTCTCTCAAGGTGGTTCACATGTAATCACTAACTTAGGTATCTTTGATGTTGGGCCCGGGCACGAAAATGACGTTTCTCGTTCAACCAATACGCATCCGCGAGTTTTCATTGAACAACAACTATGGATCAATCTGGACCGCAAGAATGTACTATGGCTTCCTCCTCACTTTCGGCCTATCTGTTCCGCGGTCAATAGGAACTTACTTGCCTTGGGACACGCATCAGGGCGAGTTAGTTTTCTACGAATTTCTCTATAGTAGAATTCAATACTTTCTGTTGTAAATATTCACTATATTTTCTAATCTCTTTGTAAAAGAAGGGCCTGGGAGTGAAACGAAATTTATATCAAACTTCCTACTAATAAAATGTACCACCAAGTTCCACGAGGCTCCAGAGCCACAGGTCTATTTTGATGAGTCAGCGACTTGGCTAGGACTGGTCTACGGAGCAGGAAAGGGTACAGTACTCGTCACACCCCACTAAACAACACTCATTTCTTGGACTAAAGCCTTGGCAGTGGGGCCCAGAAAGAATGAAAGAGTGTAAGTTGGTGAAGCTGGTATTGCACCCCTCTGTATAAGTTGTGTGTACCATCTTCAGACTCGAAGCGACGCTACATTGGGACTCGAATATTCCGATCTTCAATCGACTGTATCAATTGTGAGCACCTGGAAGACCCTGTAACTAAAGTGGGAAGCGTGGTATCCATTGCGAAAAATGTCGGGACGGGCCGCGATGCGAACCCCTGAACCCCCTGACCGCGACGATCACGAAGATCCACCACCGCGACTGTTGAGACCGAAACGCACTACCAGACCACCAAGCAACTATGCGCAAGAGCAGGAGAAATGTACTGAGCAGAGAGAGACGCGCTCTCAGCAGAGCAAGAGAACCCAAGACAAACCAGTAGCCCAACATGACGCGGTAGCTTCGGACGACTCGACAGAGAGCGAGGACCTGAACACCGCCAAACTTGTGAAGGAGCTTGTCAAACTCAGGAGAGAGATCAGACAGCGAGATGATTTGCATAGAGAAGAGATCCAGAAAGTTCAAGAAGAATTTCAGAAAGAATTTCAGAAAGTCAAGGAAGAATTTGGTGCCGCACTCGCAGAAGTTCGACACGAGTTACGGATCCTGACTGACAGACCCCCGACACCGCAATCGCACTGCGAATCATGCTCACAGAACAGCCACGATGAGATCCTCCGCGAAATTCATTCCCTGCGCGATGCCATCAGCACTGCCGTTCCCACTGGCTCCCCGTCCTATGCGGATGTTGCCCGTACCCCGCCAACCAGTCAACCGAGCAACATACGAACTCTCTCATCGTCGAACACGACACCGACCACCCTCACTGACACGTTATATTGCACGATAGATACCTCGAAGATGGCAGACAATGAAAACGAGAGAATGTCCGCAGGCCGAGTCAGGGTGGCGGTTGAGACAGAGATCCGGGCGCTGGAAGGCCACATGCACTGGCGCTGTCGCGCTGTCACTGTGGACCCGAAAAACACTAACCGGATCAGGGTAGCTTGCCGAGACGAAGCTGAGCATCAGCTAGTCAAAAAGGCGGCGGAAGCAAAGATCGGCACAGGAGCCCGGGTGCTTCGTGACGAACTGTACCCGATCAAAGTTGACAGTGTCAACAAGGCCGCAGTCCTAGATGACAAAGATGAGATCCGAGCCGGTGTCGCGGCAGCCTTTAGCGAGGAGAACGAAGCTACCGTGGCCAAGATCGCATGGCTCAGCAGGAAAGAAAGTGCAAAGGCGTATGGGTCAATGGTTGTGTACCTAACCAAAGGCTCTGACGTACGGAGGCTCCTGGCCGAAGGGTTCTTCCACGCTGGGGGAGAATCTGGCGTGACCAGCGCCTTTGAATATCGACCACGTCCGATGCAATGCTACAACTACCAGGAGATTGGCCACAAGGCCTTCCAGTGCAGGAACGTCCAGAGGTGTGCAAAATGCGCTATGGAGGGCCACCGCCACAGTAACTGCGCCCAAACGGTTCCAAAGTGCGTTCCATGCGGAGGCCCACATGAATCATACAGCAAAAATTGCCAGAAGCTCTATCCGTCACGTCATGAATAAAACACTCCGAATAATCCAACTGAATGTGAGGAAACAGGGAGCAGTGCATGATAGTTTAATGAACGACGAAGAAACTCAGGGGGCAGTGGCACTGGCGATTCAGGAACCCCAAGCGAGAAGAATTCAAGGCCGGCTGTTGACAACCCCGATGGGACATCACAAATGGACCAAGATGGTTCCCTCTACCTGGAGGGAGGGCCGATGGGCGATCCGAAGTATGCTTTGGATCAATAAGGAAGTGGAAGCGGAGCAAGTGCCGATCGAGTCGCCGGATCTGACGGCGGCGGTCATCCGCCTCCCCGAGCGACTGATTTTTATGGCATCGGTTTACGTAGAGGGAGGGGATGCCTCGGCGTTGGACGACGCATGCGATCACCTTAGAAAAGCAATCACAAAGGTACAGCGAGATTCAGGGACTGTGGTGGAGGTCATGGTTGTAGGGGACTTCAACCGCCATGATCAACTCTGGGGAGGAGACGACGTGTCTTTGACAAGACAAGGAGAGGCGGATCCAATCATCGACATCATGAACGAATTTTCTCTGAGTAGCCTACTCAAACGAGGCACGAAGACATGGCACGGCGGAGGGCAGACTGGGGACTGTGAGTCCACGATCGACCTCGTTCTGGCCTCGGAAAACTTGACGGACTCGATGGTCAAGTGTGCAATACACGTAACAGAGCATGGCTCGGACCACTGCGCCATTGAGACTGTTTTCGATGCGCCGTGGCCGACCCCACAGCATACGGAACGACTTCTGCTGAAGAACGCACCATGGAAGGAAATCAATACCAGGATCGCGACTACCCTAGCCAGCAATCCGTCGGAAGGGACGGTACAGCGAAAGACCGACCGACTCATGTCAGCGGTATTGGAAGCGGTGTATACTTTAACACCGAGGGCCAAACCGTCGCCACACGCAAAGCGATGGTGGACGGCAGACCTAACACAGCTCCGTCAGATATACACATATTGGAGAAACCACGCCCGCTCGGAGCGACGAGCAGGGCGAAAGGTACCACACCTGGAAAGTATGGCCGCGAGTGCGGCGAAACAATACCACGATGCTATTCGCGAACAAAAGAAGAAACACTGGAATGAGTTTCTGGCGGACAACAATAATATATGGAAAGCCGCGAAATACCTGAAGTCGGGAGACGACGCAGCATTCGGGAAGCTCCCGCAGCTCCTCAGGGCAGATGGAACCACTACCACTGACCACAAGGAGCAAGCAGAAGAACTACTGACCAAATTTTTCCCGCCCCTGCCAGACAGAATTGATGATGAAGGAGCCAGGCCGCAGAGAGCGCCGGTAGAGATGCCGGCCATCACCATGGAAGAGGTCGAACGGCAGTTGTTGGCCGCAAAATCTTGGAAAGCGCCGGGCGAGGACGGTCTACCGGTGATAGTGTGGAAGATGACGTGGCCTGCGGTCAAAAACCGGGTCCTAGAACTATTCCAGGCATCGCTGGACGAAGGCACGTTACCGAGGCAATGGAGACATGCGAAGATCATACCGCTAAAGAAACCGAACAAAGAGAACTATACTATTGCGAAGGCTTGGAGGCCGATCTCACTCCTGGCGACACTGGGGAAGGTACTGGAATCAATCATCGCAGAAAGGATCTCACACGCGGTGGAGACATATGGCCTGCTTCCGACTAGTCACTTTGGGGCCCGAAAGCAGCGATCCGCGGAGCAAGCACTTTTACTCTTACAAGAGCAAATCTACGCGGCGTGGCGTGGCCGACGGGTCCTAAGTTTGATCAGCTTCGACGTCAAGGGGGCCTACAATGGGGTTTGCAAAGAACGACTGCTCCAGAGGATGAAAGCGCGAGGGATACCGGAGGTCCTGCTCCGGTGGGTCGAAGCGTTCTGCTCGGAGCGAACGGCGACCATCCAGATCAATGGCCAAGCATCTGAGGCGCGAAGCCTCCCACAGGCTGGTCTGCCTCAGGGTTCTCCACTGTCCCCGATCCTCTTCCTCTTTTTCAACGCAGATCTCGTACAGCGACAGATCGATGGCCAAGGAGGAGCGATTGCCTTCGTGGATGACTTCACCGCGTGGGTGACTGGACCGACTGCGCAGAGCAACCGGAATGGTATTGAAGCGATCGTCAATGAAGCACTCGACTGGGAAAAGAGAAGTGGAGCGACCTTTGAAGCAGAGAAAACTGCCATTATACACTTCGCCTCCAAGGCCCGCAAGTCAGACTCGGAGCCATTCACCATTAAGGGGGAGACCGTTGAACCTAAAGACTATGTTAAGATTCTTGGCGTCATAATGGATACAAGACTCAAATACAAGGAACATATCGCGAGAGCGGCGTCCAAAGGCCTGGAAGCAGCGATGGAGCTGCGACGGCTTCGTGGCCTATCCCCAGCAACAGCGCGGCAATTATTTACGTCGACTGTGGCCCCGGTGGTGGACTATGCCTCCAATGTCTGGATGCACGCTTTCAAGAACAAGAATATCGGGCCGATCAACCGGATTCAACGAGTCGGAGCGCAAGCGATTGTTGGGACATTCCTCACAGTCGCGATCAGCGTAGCGGAAGCGGAGGCTCACATCGCCACAGTGCAACACCGGGTCTGGAAACGAGCTGTGAAGATGTGGACAGACATGCATACCCTACCAGCAACCAATCCGCTCCGCAGGAGTACAGCTCAGATCAAAAAATTCAGAAGATACCACCGTTCACCATTATATCATGTTGCAGACGCGCTGAAAAGAACCGAGATGGAATCACTGGAAACCATCAATCCATTCACCTTGGCACCATGGGAGGAGCGTGTGCAGAGCGATAGTCATGAAACCCCAGAGACACAGACCGAAGCAGGTGGAGTCATGCGGATCGCGGTCAGTAGTTCAGCACGGAACGATCTGGTTGGATTTGGAGTGGCGATCGAGAAGCGGCCACCTCGTTATCGAAAACCGAGGCTGAAGACCTTCTCTGTCACACTGGGCGCAAGAGCAGAGCAAAACCCATACTCCGGCGAATTGGCAGCAATGGCATACGCACTGGGCACGCTACAGGGACTGAAACGGTGCAGGGTCATGCTACTCACGAGCAACAAAGCGGCGACTCTCACGCTGAGGAATCCTCGACAACAGTCGGGCCAGGAACACATCTACCAAGCATACAAGCTGATCAAGAGACTACGGAAGCATGAGAACCACATCAACATCTGTTGGGTCCCGACCAGCGAAGATAATCACCTGCTAGGCCTAGCAAAAGAGCAGGCTCGGACCGCAACCCAAGAGGATTCTACCCCGCAGGCACAGGTCCCCCGGATGAAGTCGACAACACTGAACATCTCACGATCCCAAGCAGTCCCCAAAAATTGTCTACCAGAGAATATAGGGAAACACTCCAAGCGAGTGGATGCAGCACTTCCAGGGAAACACGCCCGACAGCTATATGATCGATTGTCTTGGAAAGAAGCAAGCGTGCTAGCCCAGCTCCGGACTGGTATGGCGAGACTTAATGGATACCTCTATCGCATCAACGTTGCAGAGACGGACCAATGCGCATGTGGACAAGCCAGAGAGACTGTGGAGCACTTCCTCTTCCGATGTCAGCGGTGGACCACGCACCGGACGGAAATGCTGCAATGTACCCATACTCACCGAGGCAACATATCCTTTTTCCTAGGCGGGAAATCGCCTTTGGATGACCAGAACTGGAAGCCGAATTTGGAAGCAGTGCGAGCCACAATACGGTTTGCAATCACCACGGGCCGACTTGACGCCACTTAAGCATATCGACCAACACAGATTAACCCTACCCCGACCCAACCCCAATCTAACCCCCACTATATACCTTGTGCCAGAGACGGTAGACGCGCTTCAACTGCCGAGGATAGGATGTTGAACACTTGGAGAAGCGCCTTCAAGCAAGTCTACTCACTAAAAACTAACCCACAAGGACTCGCTAAGATATTGATATCTGAGATGACATACAGTGAAAGGAATCTTGTATGGGCTCCAAGGAGGCACAGCATTAGCTAAGGCATGTAAATTTAGATCAGCGATAGTTGCCCTTTCGGTTCAGCCGCCGGGCGTTAATAAATTGTGTGTGTGTGTGTGTGTATAAGTTGTCCAAGGAGGCACCGCATTAGCTAGAGCATGTATATTTAGATCAGTGATAGTTGCCCTTTCGGTTCAGCCGCCGGGCGTTAATAAATTGTGTGTGTGTGTGTGTGTGTGTGTGTGTATAAGTTGCCTTCATAAGCTTACTACTAATATCAATGATAGATCGAAGTCATCTCTTACGCAGCCGCTTCGGTCTTGCCAGAATGCAGCGAACAGCAATAGCTAACAACGTAAGGTTTTATCAGCGGCAATTTGGAGAGTATTCATCCTGTGCTGACGACTCCCTGTATAAGAAGGCAAAAGTTCGATCACGAGCCGCTCGATCTCCTCTAAGTCATCGGGGTGCGTTGCCTCTGCCTATTCCCATGGCCGGGCTGCATTTTGGATCTCAGGGCAGATGTTGTTTACTTGAGGTTTTATTTTTTCGTGCTCTCTGTCCGTCAGAAAAGATTGCTGATGTCTCCTTCTTGCCGCAGGACAAATGCCAAACTGGCACCCACCACGACCGATCCGCAATTTCCCATAGCCCTCAAAATCAAGGATGCACGACTAGCCGGCCACTGACCCTCATTGTATTTCTGCTTTGCTGTTTCAGGACACATGCTCGAAATGCCCAATTCGCTTGTGCAGATGGAAAAAATCCAAGGAGGCTCAGTTCCCTTCGATTAGCATATGGTAGAGTTCCAACATATTTCCATCTCTCCCAGCTTCATCCTATTTGACCAAAGGTTAACTGTCATTCTGTTAGCTTGCGTATCCCGACGGTCCTGCACCTCTTGTCCCATATCCGATTTGAAGCCTCGACGACGGCATCATCCGGTCCAATGCTAGGCCAAGTGAGCTATCGCAGCACCCAGGGACAACGAAGAGAAGCCGAGCATCGACGGCCACCGAGTAAGACCATGGTCTCTCCGGGAATAGTATTAACCAGTAAGGAATTGAGCTTCTGGCCACAGTCTGGGGGATAGCTCGGCCAGGCCCGGTTGCAGCTGAGCAAGTGACGATGCAGGCCGCAGCACTGGATCTACCACAGATCTCTCGCTGCGAGAGCAATCGTTTCAGGTCAGTTCCCAATTTCAACGTAGATCAAATACCATGAATCTCTCCTCCTGGCACTTTGTCCTGACACGTTGAAGATTTGCCTGGCGCACGAACAGCAAAGACGAAACAGCTATGTCTTGGCAGATTTTGCCAACATCCATTTCCCGCGGTACGGACTGATTCTAGGCCCTCGTGCACGTGAGATCGAGCTGACGCCTGCTACCTTGTCTCTGATTTGTCTATGCTGATGCCAGACTATATTGATGGCAAGTCTGTACCACCCACATTCACCGGAAATCATGCTGACGTAGGCAGTGGAACATAGCCCTGGTTCGGCCGTTCCCACGAGTCCGATCGGGATATTGTATTGTGGCTGTTATTGGGAATCATCTAGGCTGCGAGCATGGTGAGTTGCGAACGACCATATCGCGCCAGCTGCTGATAATTGATGTTAGATCGTGTGTATCCAACGGCAAATTGCCTTGGCCGTGTCCTAATGCAGCCAGCGATTCAAAGCTGCCGCCATGGCCTATTTCATGAACGAATTTGGCGAGTATGATCTCATCACTACGATAGATTGGAGCCCAACTAACCATGTTGTCAGATCGCTGATATCAAGATGACTTTTTCCTCCCAAACCTGGCCGCGAGCCGATCGGATGCTCCCTCTCCGATGTAACCACCAAACGCCACGGACTCAACAGCAGAAGCAGCCTCGCAAAGCACATGGCCAGCCGGTTGCTTCTGCGGCCACAAATTTCTATTACGGATTCAAGAGGTATATAGCTAGTTTTTGATGCAAGACGGAGGAGACTACGGGAACACGGCAACGGGATCCGCATTCGTTGGGTCCCAATTAGCGAAAATAACCAACTGCTGGGCCTGGCGAAAGAGCAGGCTAGGGCCGCGACCCAAGAACACGCTACCCGCAAACACAAAGTCCAAGAGTGAAGTCAACCACACTGAATATCGCACGGTCCCAGGCCGCAGCCAGCAAAGGCCTGCTAGAGAACGTAGGGAGACATTCCAAACTTGTGGATATAGCGCTTCCAGGGAAACACAATCGACAGCTGTACGATCCATTGTCGTGGAAAGAAGCGAGCGTGCTGGCTCAACTCCGGACTGGCATGGCTAGACTAAATGGATGTCTCTATCGGATCAACGTCACAGAGACGGATCAATGTGCATGTGAACAAGCAAGAGAGACCGTGGAGCACTTCCTCTTTCGATGCCAGAAGTGGACCACGCACCGGACGGAAATGCCGCAATGTACCCATACTCACCGAGGCAACATATCTTTTTTCCTAGGTGGAAAATCGCCTTTGGATGACCAGAACTGGAAGCCGAACTTGGAAGCAGTGCGAGCCTCAATACGGTTTGCAATCGCCACGGGCCGACTCGACGCCGCGTAGCCATGTCGACGAACACAAGTGATACACTTCTCCCATACTAACCCACACCAACCACCTCGTGCCGGAGACGGTAGACGCGCTTTAATTGCCGAGAATAGGATGTTGAACACTTGAAGAAGCGCCTTCAAGCCAGTCTACTCGCCTTCAAGTCAGTCTACTAACAAAATACTAACCCACGAGGACACGCTACGATATTGACAGCTGAGATGACATATACTGAAAGGAGCCATGTATGGGCTCTAAGGAGACACAGCATATACTAGGACATGTATTGGTAAATCAGTGATAGTTGCCCTTTCGGCTTAGCCGCTGGCCCTTAATAAATTGTGTGTGTGTAGTCGTCATACTAAACACAGTTTGACTAAAAGACCAGACGCTATACAGACAACCAGATATTTGCCAAGCCTCGGCCGGGATAAAACACAACACACATAGCCGCCAGGTGCGTCGTGCTTAACCTGTTCCCTCCCTTGACCTTGCTAACCCCAAGCAACTCCGCTGCTTGGTGATGGCTGAAATCCACGACGACCACCGGCGAAGTGTCGTCGAACTCTGTGGGGGTGATTGGTAGAGGTCTGCTGAGCTTATCGTTATCAACGAAAAAGGTGCGGAAGAAGGCCATGTCCATATGAAGCTGTCAGGTTTTAGCTTAGGTTGATTAATGGGAAAGAATTTTGTGACTTACATTTACAACTGTTCGATTAAGCGCGTACTTGTTCAAAGCCAGTGCGGCCTTGACGCAGTCTCCAATTTGCTTCTTGTCCATCGAGCAAGTTCCAACATCTTTGACGATTTTCTTAGGTTTGGATGGTGAACGGGCCTTCTTTGTTGGTTTGCTCTGGCCCGCTGCGACGGATGAAAGTGTGCGCTGTGTTCGTTAGCTGCACGCGTCTATCGAAGTTACTTGAGATGGATCGATAACCTGCTTTTCGTGATGCGACCATGTCGTCGAGCTGGTGAAGAAGCCGATTCCGGGATATGCAAGGAAGTGAAAGAAAGAGCGTGAGGGAAACGTTTTAGAACATACACAACGCGCTGGGAGACGCGTAGTTGAAATCAGACTCGTCTAGTCCGCGTAAGCTAAAAATATTTACCACTAAAATGCCTCTTCTTAGATTGTCGAATCAAATTCGATAAACCACTTTGCTCCCGGCGCTGACGACCCACTTCTTGTCCCACCCAAATTACCCCTCATCCCGGAACACCCTCCCTCCCCTCCCTCCTCTATTTACATCCACTATTGACAGTTATCTTAATAGTCATAATACCTCCGTATTCCGTCAACATGCCTTCCAACCAGGGATATAACTAGACCTTGACAAGACCCGTAACGGGTCAGGTTGAAGGCCAGGACCCGAACCCAAAACCCGTCAACCCGTGTGTTGGCTTATTAAGTGATGCTTCAGTGTTCATGTTATTGAAGGAGGTTGATTGTCTGTTATGTTGTCTAAGATACAAGTGAAGTGTGAGGTAGGTGAATGTATGCACGTGATCCCAGCCTCTTATTATCTCAGCGACCAGGATATTCCAACACGCCCCGCCCCGACCCGTGGGGTGGGTTTTCCTGGGCCGGGTTCCAGCAGACCGGGGGTAAAAAAGTAACGTGACTTTGACCCACCTTCGGCGCCTTATTTTTCCGCGGTTTTTCCGTCTTTTTAGCCCCCGGTGCAAATCGATTCTCACCGGGGGTAAGAATTTCTTACCCCCGGTGGGTCTGAATAGGTCGTTTCTATTGGCTGCTAATAGATATACTAAATTTGACGGCTACGATATACTACACCTAGTTTTTGTATACCTAAGAACTTCATTAACATATCGTTTACATATGTCCTACGTAGATATAAGAAGCAGCAGCGCTATTAGTTGTCGCTTCTGCCTTTGAAGTAGTAATTCGCCCACATTTGGAAGGTACGCGCTTTGTGCTGTGGATGACAACAAAGGACCGATACACGATATATATACACAACATCACCAGAATTTCTCCTCCTCTCTTTTTGATCTCCCTCTCCATCTCTCTCTTCATCTCTCTCTCCTATCTCTTTCACATATCGACTACATATCCTTTACTTTATCCAAGATGGCAGATCACACGTCCTTTGCAACGTTTTCCGGTCATCAACTCCCTCGTGCCTTTTTCGAGGCACCTGGAGTTGACGATGCAGTGAATCCCCATTTCAACCTGGGATATTTCCATGGTTTGATGAATCTTTGATGAATCCTAAGCTTTTGAAACATATACTAATTGTATGTAGGGCCTGTCATCGATCCGAATCCAGGATGGCGACCTGCTGTCGCGGGCAACAATGCGAGATACAATATCAGTGCTGCTGATATCGCGAACCCGAATGACCAGCCTCCTCATGCGCGTCTGCTGTTGTCAAAGATGAATCTTCTTGTCTGTCCAGTGGTGGAAATTGAACCAGCTCATCAGTGCGGTATGACTTTCGAGACTCAACCTGACTTCCGCCGTCATCTTCGCATGGTTCACCCAGGCTGCTGTAAGTCGAACCTATGCTTTACATATGCTTTATATATGGGGAGGAAACACTAATTGATTGTAGTTCGCAACCCTGACCGGAGACGAATCTCAAATCTCGAAAGGAACAAGGGCACGCTGGCACTAATCGCTTACATCCGGTCCGGTGAATGGCGTGAAGATTTGTTCATGAATGAACCGGGTCGCGGACCAGCAGCCAGTGTTGTCGGATACTGGGCAGACTGCATGTCAACTATTGCTCGCAATGACGATAAGTGGTGTGATGAGTTTGGGCTTCTTTATCATCGTGACCAGCATCCCGTGGCCCCAACCAGTGGAGGCCGGAGCCGACGCGTGAGTTATTGTTGTTGTTTTCATATGCGATTCCTATGCTAATCATATGTAGCGCGGCCAAAACCCTCCTCCTGCTCTGATCCCGTTCGTGAATCTTGCGCAAATTAACGCTGGCGGCTACGATATGGATTTCGCTTCTGATTCTAATGTTGATGTCAACGATAGTGATAGTGACGATGAAGGTAACGATGGGAGCGACAATGATAACAACGAGGATATTGATCGTAGCCGTTCTCAGTCACCCCAGCCAATCTTGCGGATGGGTTGTTATCAAGTAAGACGTCCTGCTCCTCCTGCCGAGGAAGAAGATGAAGTGGAATCAGCGCAAGAGGATGAGACAGAGGTTAGCAGCTCTGATGGCTTTGATAATAACGGCGGCAATAGTGATGGTGATAGCAATAGCGGTGGTGCTACTAGCGTGTGAAGAGGATTTTCTCATATTCGTACTTTATGATGAACTTAACGAGTTATTGATCAATTCAATTTTATTCTTATGCAAAAGATATTCTATTGATATGTCTTTATTATCTTGAAAGTAGTCGAAGCTCCTCCCGAAGTCGTTTATTCTCCTGTCTTGCCTTGAGTATTGCGAGTTGCTCGCGTAACTCTTGATTCTCTGTCTCTACCTGAATTCTTTCGTAACTTTGAGATTGTTTTGGTGTAGATCTTGACGTTGATTGGGACTGAGGACGGGAAATAAGAGACTGAGACTGAGATAGTCTGGATCGGGAGAAAGCATCGATACTAGCTCAACTCCGCACGGGACATACCAGGCTGAATAGATATCTTTATCGAATCGGTAAAGCCGAAAGTGATTTGTGTGAATATGGAATTGAGCGTGAAACAGTCCCGCATTTCTTGCTTCGATGCACACAGTAGAATGAACAACGTCGTGCGCTGAGTGAAGCTACGGGTCCGAGCTTCGGTAGTCTGTCGCAGATGCTAGGAGGTAAACCTGGGGATGTAGAGAACGCAAGTGAACCAAATGGAAGAGCATGGAAACCCGACATCAAGACTGTCAAAGCCGTCATCGCGTTTGCAATGGAGACGGGACGGTTGGCCAATAAAGGGTAAGGAGTAGGAAGATCTGAATCGAGGACCGCGCATGTGGTGATGCTATCAAATGTACATATCCTATGGAGCAGTGCACACTAGCTTGGGGGCTACATACGACCTAAGGTCGTGAAAAGCCTGAGGAATAAATAAATAAATAAATAAATAAATAAATAAATAAATAAATAAATAAATAAATAAATAAATAAATAAATAAATAAATAAATAAATAAATAAATAAATAAATAAATAAATAAATAAATAAATAAATAAATAAATAAATAAATAAATAAATAAATAGTAAATGCGATAACTTAGAACTAGTCAGTAACTAGCACAAAACTCACCGTCACTGTCCGATTCATGGCTGATTCATTCCCTAGTAAAAGCCTTTGCCCCCCCCCCTGAATTAGGGTAACCCTGGATAAAGTTGCCCCATATTTTCAGATTCACTTAGGTATATCATTTGGATGAGAATAACTTTATGAAGATAGAAAGTGGGATTGTTCTATTCTGGTGGGGGTGGTCCTACCGCACTAGCAGAAAGACGGTGGGAATGAGCCTAAAAGTCAGAAACACAAGCGCATATGGGCTTCTAGACTGGCAGCTTGGCACTATCCGAGGTAACCTAACCATACAACGCCAGCCAAGGCCGAGATCATCTAGTTTCGATTGCGAGATCGTAGATAATAAAATAATTCTCCCATGAAAAAGAGTGTCCCTCAACACAATCTCCTTTACCCACATACGACATGTCCTCTGATACAACCGAACTGTCCACCTTTAATGTTAAACATAGATCTGTCATGGTACTATATAATCTTAAATGGTCGAATACGGAATTGATTATTTTGATCTATTTCTCGTCCAGGCAAATTTGTTCCGAGGCGCTCCAATGCTTGCTATTGCGTCGAGGCTATTACCGTTCTAAATGTGCTATTGAGTGCAAACTCGTCTCAATGGCTCAGCAGCATCCATATCTAAGAAATTCTAATGGACGCCGGGATTTGATTGCCGTTGACCACTGGATGGACGACTTACTTGGAAGCAATAAGTTGGTGAATCTACAAATTCAATTTTCAGCGGATGATGCTGAAGATGTGGCACGTGTACGTTTTCTTTTTTAAGTTACTTGTACATTTTTTCTAACTACCTCCTGCTCAAATAATAGTATCAATCACTTGACCAACCCTTGGAATCATTTAAACGCGACCTTTGCTTTAGAAGCTCGTCGGATGATTCACGCGAACATCGCTGATAGCCATTTGTGTTGAAAACCCTCAGTTTATGGTGGGCAATAGAGGCAACTCGTTTTTTATAGCTTTTATGACAAAAATTCATCATTTTGTACCTCAAAAGCCAAAGGAAGGTGCCGATCAAACCCACATAGGACCGACAGAATGCTCAATGTGGGCTGTCCGCCAATTTGATTCCCTGTATCAGCACTGCAGAATTACCTGATAGTTAAGCTGAGGACATGCCTCTCCTTCAGTTGAGATCTAGGTAACAGCCCATGTCATGAAGTAACGTTCGGCCCAATACTGGTGCCACCACCTACACCATTCAGGTGATTTTCCAGCTCCCCCGCCAAGAGACACCTATATTCTATTGGGTCATGTCAGCGCATCGAGTGGTATTTTACCACTAGCAAGCGATTGATTACCCAGTGTCAGCGCATCGAGTGGTATTTTACCACTAGCAAGCGATTGATTACCCAGGAACCCACATTTCTTTGTGTTTTGTATGGTAAATTGGTTCAACTAGCAACCTCGGTGTAATAACCACCGAGTATACGCACATACGGGGGGTATTTCAACCTGCCCTCGATCGCATGCTTATTTCGATTCAATCAATCAATCATTTTATCCTGAATTGGTTCCGCTTGATCTCATTCGTCCTGAATGCATACTAGTCCATACGCTTTTAGCAAGTGCTGATATGAGATTAATGCATGAGTAGTCCGTATCAGGATGACAGTACAATACCATAAATACACGTGCTCCAACACCAGCTGACTACGCCTTAGCGCTAAACCTGAAAGGGAGAGAGAAACATAACAAATTGGACCCACTTTAACCTATTTTGGACTTCAGTTTCCCAAAAAGTCGACTCCCTTTCATTTCACATCTGCCTGCCTGTACGCGACAGCCTTTTGGATTTTGACCATACAGAATGCGCGGCGAAGTACGTGCCAACCTATTGCTGCTCAGGGTTCTCCATGTAAATGGTGTTGCCCTCTTCTGTTTCTTTTCCAGCCTTGAACCGCAAAATACGGACAGCCCAAAATTCCGGTGTGGCTCTCAATACCATTATTGTATCTAAGGCCACACAAACCCCTACAGGAAATAATGGAAACCCATATACTGACTCATTAGATCTGCCATCTTCACATAGGCCAGGCTGGTACCCAACTGGGCAATGCTGCCTGGGAGCTGTAAGTCTTGATTCTCTTGCAATTCATTCTGCAATGACTCACTATTGATTGATGATATAGTTATCTGCTCGAGCATAATCTTCTGGCTGATGGTCATATCAATCCTGATTATGTCCAAGAACTTGACCAGAGCGGCTCGTATGAGACATTTTTCACCGAGACTGGCAATGGCAAATACGTCCCACGCTCCATCTTTATCGACCTTGACCCTTCGGTGCGTAAAGAGTGGCAACCAAGTTTAAATGAAATTCAGACTGATGAAATTGCGGCGCTATAGCCCATTGACGAGATACGCACTGGTACCTACCGCCATCTGTTCCACCCTGATCAGCTGATAAGCGGAAAAGAGGATGCGGCTAATAATTGTACAACCCCCCGAGATCTTGAAGACGCATACCAAAAAAAGCTAATGTATATTAGATGCTCGAGGTCATTATACTGTTGGCAAACTGCTCATGGAGGGCGTTGTAAACCGGATTCGCCGCGTGGCTGGTGTGTATATGGGAATCCTTCCTCTCGTGGCTTTGATATGTAGACTAATTTCCTTCCAGATAATTGCACCTCTCTTCAGGGATTTTTGCTCTTCCATTCCTTTGGCGGCGGAACAGGTTCTGGTCTCGGTGCACTCTTGCTCGAGCACCTTTCTGCCGAATATTCCAAGAAAACCAAACTAGAATTTGTGGTTTACCCGTCCCCGCGTGTGGCAACTGCAGTGGTGGAACCCTACAATGCCGTCCTCTCCGCACACGATACTATTGAGAACTCCGATTGCACATTCCTCGTTGACAATGAAGCTGTGTACGATATCTGTAAGCGCAACCTCGACATTCCTCGCCCTGGGTATGACCATCTCAACCGCCTTGTGGCCCAAGTCGTTAGCTCTGTTACTTCCAGCTTGCGCTTCGATGGTGCCTTGAATATCGACTTAAATGAGTTTCAGACAAATCTTGTGCCGTTTCCGCGAATTCACTACCCCCTCATTTCGTATGCTCCTGTCATATCTAGCACCCACAGTGGCCACGAGAGCTTCAAGGTCAAAGACTTGACCTTACAGTGTATGTGCCTCCTCTCCATTTAATTCAACTATGCTTCGTACTAATTACTTGACAGGCTTTGAATCTAAAAACCAGATGGTTGTTTGCGATCCACAGAATGGCAAGTACATGGCTGTTGCCCTTCTGTACCGAGGTGATGTCGTGCCTCACGATTGTACCCAAGCTATGGCTCACATTAAGGCCAAGGCCTCTTTCAACTTGGTTGAGTGGTGTCCAACCGGTTTCAAACTGGGAATTAACAACCAAAAGCCCATGAACGTCCCTGAGAGCGAGCTTGCTTCTGTCGACCGCTCGGTTACCATGCTCTCCAACTCCACCGCCATCGCCGCGGCATGGCATCGCCTTGACTACAAATTTGACCTCATGTTTTCCAAACGTGCTTTTGTCCACTGGTACGTAGGTGAGGGCATGGAGGAAGGAGAGTTCTCCGAGGCTCGCGAGGACTTGGCTGCTCTGGAAAAGGATTATGAAGAGATCGCCAGTGATACTCTCGGCACGGACGTGGATGTGGGCCTTGAGTACTGATTACTCCTTTATTTTGTTATTATGATTTTACATCTACAGTTTGTCTCTCTACGAAAGATCTTTTGACGTTCGTATCTCAACATTTCCATTCCTATGGTATCTCGCTCGAGTTGGGATTTAGATCTTATTTCTCAGATGTTAAATCAGTTACCATTTTACAGCCAACCCTAATTTGTCTTTTTGCAGTCGGCCTCCTAGTTTTCATGGAGAGGACTCTGGTAATTCTGATATTCGTGACTGGTATTCTGAAATCCATTATTCGCCGTCTTACAAACATTACTGGTGCCAGGCACGGCGCAAAATGGCTGAGGGATGCTAGCGTGTTGCGGGCGCTCGGTTCCAGTGTTCTTTTCGGAGATCTCGGATGGGTTATGTGCAGATTTTAGAACAAATTCGGCAGAGTCAAAGTAGGTACGGTGCTGCGAAATATTAGCCTTCCAACTCAAGAAAGCTGTTTAGACTCCGAACTCAACCTTTGATCCTTCGGAAAATAGCTTCTCTCGGAGAGGAACAACGCCGTAGCGCCGAACTGCCAGGGCGTTTCTGTCGAAGGGTGGCTTCGATAATTAACTGAAGCCTGTAACTCACAAATTTGTCAGAAAGCTTACTTTAAAATCTGTGTGCGCTTCATTTTCGCCTGGCATATTGCAGAAAGGGTTGTAGGGAAGAGATTACTTACGGGTGGGACATTGCTTTGTCTATAGAAAGGTGCTTTCTCACCTAATACTTTGCCCGGCATGATGTCATGCCACCGCCTGTGACTCATTTCGTTGAAAATGGGGGCAATAGCGTCAGGATCACGTGGCGTAAATCGAAACCTTAAGATTGTGTTCCATTGATGGCAACTTCTTCTTGGAGTATGAGTCGCTATCCAGATTGTCAAGGGCCCGAAAACATGGTTAGCTAGCTACATGGTGGGGGCAATAAGCAACGAGCTTTCCCCATCCTGACAATATCTTTTAATGGGTAGTGCCCGTGCATTTTCAGAAGCTGGCTCTTCAATATTTATTCAATATTTCTATGATACAGAATATTCGACGAGTTGCTATTAAGAAACGTACGCAGGCATGTTCCATCATCAACTTTACCATGTACGCATCATGGCGTTAGCTCGAAACAAGGTTACGCTATCCGCAGATAAGGGTTCCTGTTATACCCCGAAGATGAGAAGGCAAAAGCCTTCTCAGGCATACATTTACGTGAGTAGAAAGAACGCAGACTACAAACAAAGTGGGTGTGACGTCACTCTGGATATACCTGTATAGTAGAATAGTAAAACTGACGACGTGTCTGTTTTAGAAATCCCAAAGTCGGCTCCTGCAACCCCCGAAGCGAAAGGAGAAAGCCATAAATACGACAGTCTCAAAATATACCGGGAAGGACCCAACACCGAAAGTGGCGAATTGGATCCTAAATCCGAATCGAAGGAAGTCAAAAAACATAACAAATCCGTGGCCGATCGAAATGGCGACCATTAGCTCTACTGATTTGGAGTGGCTTATTCATCCTGTATGGATCTACCAGTTGCAAAACGTGACCTCTTTTGTACTTGCAATATTATTTTGATCTGCCTACAGGACAATAGACCCTACAAATATTCCGGAGGAAGAGTTCGGGAGCGGAGGGTTACTAGGGCCTTGCCGAGGGAGTTCCTGATACCCTGTACCTACTCATAAAATGCCACTTATATCACGAAAGCTATGGGTCTGGCTACCGGGCGACGTACTCCGACTGAGACCTACAAGCGTGGGCAAAGCCCACCACGAAAGTGAAAAAAATTTTTATGACTGTGCAGACTGGGCCAAAATCGGCGTGCGGATAACCCAAGAAATGAGTCCACAAAAGAATGATTGTATATTAAGGGGCCTGGTGAAAAAGAATCCGTGCAGAGCTGCGATCCTACAATGCCAGCCCGCTTAGCTCCATTCCCTGTCTTTAGCTTGACACAGGGGATGTTTATAACTTCAGATGATTACAATGTCACAGTCGAGCACAGCAGGAATTCTATAGCTCTTGTGCTGAAGCCATCTGTCAATCCACAAAATTTCAAGAAGCGTAAGAAATGAAGATCGGTACAGTAAGATCAGGCGGGAGAACAAGGGACTGTATTGTGAGATGAGGCTGTACAGATCACTAAATACAACGCTGTATCATAGCTTGTATCAGCCTGACCTCTTTTAGACAGGTCCGACATACTTACTATGATATTCTGAGGTAGATGCTAAGACTCGAATGAACATGTCTAATTCTGTGGTTGGGCTGGTTGATAAATAGGGTTGCAATATGACTTGTTATGATATTAGGCCGGTGCAGATCAGAAAGCAAGCCGCACCATCGAAATTAGCTCCGAGGTGTCTATACAGACAATCAATTCGATTTACAATCAACTTGGCTCCACGTTGTAAATATAGCCTCATATTTCCCTCAAAAATTAATAAGACGATTCATACCCCTAAACAATAAAGTTCTATTCTATTTAGTCAAATTGCTCATCCGAGCAGTCTTCTCCACGTGGCAGACTAAAGGTGTTAGTGCATTCGAGTCATTCACGGCACCGATTGGCCCATTATTTCTTGGCATATATCATTAGTATCCATAGCATCCAACGACAGCATGTATATCGACAACCACAGGCTCCCGGGAGTCAGAGTGAGATATTAGCCATCATTCAATCAGGCCTTGTGCGTCTATAAGCATTCATGGCTCTGATTGGCTAATATCTCTTTGCAGTAGTACTCGATTTCACATCTCCACTTAGTTCCCAGGAATTCGATGTGGATATTGCTGACGCGCTATCCAATTATGGTAGGTGTAATGGTAGGTTCAGGTTCCCAGGAGCTCATGCCAAATTTGGACCAATAATTTATACTGAGGCTTTGGGGCACATGTGGATCATTCGTGGCACCGATTGGCTCATTATTCCTCCGTAAATATCACTCTATTAGTGGTATCCAATGATCGCATTAATATTTACGACCCACAGGCTCCTGGGAGCCATGGCCAGATATCAACCAATCATCCCACTGAAGGCTTGTGCGTATGTGGGCCATTCATGGCACTAGGCTAGGGTGAAAGTCCCTTGCTGGGAACTCCCGGAGTTGTGATTGGCTGTGTTAGCGATCTGAAACTGAGTGATCTGGAGGTGGCTCTCTAGTGGGTCGCTGGGAAAGAAAAGTGTGTGTCTTGAGGGGAATCTATTTTTGAAATCCACTGTAACAGATTTTGTGCGGATGGAGGGTCGCCTAAAGCCTAAAGCAGAGCTGGAAGAGGTTAGCCGCAGTCCATCGCCTCCAATAAGACACAGAGGTAGAATAACAGTGGAGATTGGCTGCGGGGCACTCTCTGCCTCGATGAGCAGAGGCAGCCACATTCCTTTTGAGGATCCCACATCTCGGTCGCAAAGGGAAGAAAGGAATGTATTAGAGCGTGGCAAATGTAAAAACAGCAGAAATAAGCAATTCAAGGTAGAGGTGGTAAAATCATCTTGTTGAGTGAAGCGTTCCATCCTTCGGATAGTTTTATCCACACCGCAGGGAAAGTGAAAACTTGGGGAGGCCAACTCAGATGAACTCTTAAAACAATTGCCGACTCGCAGTACCTGTTCCAGCAAGCCACGTCGTATCTAATGGATGTAGTTTGCGCACGTATCGATTTTGATTCAGACAAATTTTGATGAACCATTACGATCCTATATCTATTGGCTTCCACGAGAGAACCACTGAGAGTTGTCCGCGGGAGTCCCGCAGAGGTTCCTTACTAACTGCATTCCTTCCCGTACGTCGACAATGACTCGAGGAGTTGGAACCATTCCTGAGCGACGTGACGGTAGATCGAATCGCGCCCGAGAAAGTGGTCAAGGCCAAAGGCATCAGTCGCAGAAACGGATGGATTCACGAAAAATAGTGCCTTGCTGTTATTTCGTGCCGCTTCTTCCGTTTTTGCCGCCCTACTCTCTCCAATCAACTCTTCTCTCATCGTTTGCACAAACTATGGTTCGGCTTGTCGTGACTGGAGCTCGAAATTGATCGATCGGTTCGATTTCCGGGACAATTGACCCACTTGTTCCCAGCGATCGATGACCCTAGCCTCTCTTGTAGGGCTTTATGAGATTTTCAATGCTTCCTTGCTTTTCGCCCATGTCGTTTCCCATCACATCCCCAACGAATGTCGTTCGGAGCCAGCCATGCCGATGAGTGCGCAACATCACTTGGATCTCGAGCCACAAATTGGCAACCGCGAGTCACACTCGGCTTTTCTTAACGACGAATTCGAAACGCTTGCTCTGACGCCCTGGTCCTTGCATTATAAAAGTTGTGTGCAGCACTTCTTAAAACACGGTCAATACACGCTCGAGGTGCAATCTTTGGCCGCGCTAATCAATATCCGCCTGCCCCACCAGCGGATTTCTCAGGCCGTCGACACCTCGCTGAGACAATATATTCGACGTCTTATTGTGACGGCACATGACTCACCATCTATCCTGCTGGTTTTTTTTGGTGGCGCCTGGGAGTCTGGCGTGGCCTGCATCCTTAAAGAAGAGCGGATGAATTATCTCTTCGCAGCGAAAAGTAACGGGTGGGCCTCCACAAAGACCGCTTATGATATCCTGCCCGACGAGCAAACCCCGTTTCTACGGCCATTGCGCAACCCCTCCGAGAACGAGATCCAAACGGCCGAGATACAGTGGAGTGAATGGTTGGCGATGCAAGATTGGATGGTAGGCGAGCGAAGTCCGTGGTAGACGCTAGGCTGATCAAAAATGCTTTGTTGCATGAATATTCCCCAATTTATGCCCATGACCACCATCGAATGTAAGAATACAGAATCAGAATGCTGAAGTCCTGCAAACTCTTATCTCATGTATTTCAAGGTATCGTACCTCTAGCCTGACGCTGCGTGAATTTCAAGATGGGTGTTTGCAACTTACCTTGCTCGCAGCCTAGATGAGATTCCAAATTACACCGCAAAAGAGCAAAGTTATCAAGATAAAAATTTCACGCGATCTGGATTCCAGTTGAATTTAAACCCCCACATGCATGTCAAACTCCTTAGTCAGATGCCACTGGGCAAATAATCGGGAATAGAACAACGAGAAAGCCCATAAAGAACCGACATGAATGTACCACCTACTCACTCTGTTTGAAGGGCGTAGAAAACTCACTCAGGTTGATTAAACAACAAAGGTGCTACTGGGAGGTCATCAATTGGTCTTTTGCCATTCCAATTTTTAGTTTTAAGGAGCCGAGAGTGTAAAGTGGGTCATGGCCCCTTCATTTACGGCGCAGGCTTCGACTTCTGTTTGTATTTTGGATATATCTGCACAAGCTACACTTGAATCTTAACGGTCAGGGTGTAATGTCATTTCTATCTCGGTCTCATGAGAGTGGAGACATGGATACATTGTGGATATCATTGTATCAGCGCTATCCAATGATGGCATGTATAACAGTAGGACTCGGCACCTAGGAGCTCATAGTCAGATTTGAACCAATCAGTTCTGCTGCGGCTATGTGGCATTTGTCGTTCATTTATGGCACTGATTGGGTCATATTTCCTTGGCAGATATCATTATATTAGTACTATCCAATGATAGCATTTAAATTGACGACCCACAGGAGCCATGGCCAGACATTAGTCAATAATTTAACCGAAGGGCTGTGCGCACGTGGGCCACTCATGGCACTAATTGGCTCATATTTCCTTCGAGTACCCGCCTTCCTGTGTCCACTTCGTGCCCAGGAGATTGATGTGGGTATTGCCTTACGCAAAGACGAGGCTGATGGCAGACAATTGTTCTACGGGAATATGATCGATCTAGTAACTCACTCACTATTAAAGTAACTCTTTGGTGAGATGTGGGCTGCGAGAATGAATCCCAAGTGTGATATACGAGGTAGATGCCAATACTGAAGGAACATAGAACATTCTGCGTTTGGGCAAGTAGGTAGCCAGGAGTGAAACATCGCTTGATGATTTTTTATTATTTATGGGGCAATCTTCGAGTAAAATAATGCGCTCATCATCGGTCAGTGAAGGTTGCCGCCCCACCCATCGCAGTAAGGTACGGACACATGGTGGTGAATGTTGATAACTGTCAGCGGTTTTTATCTGCGGTATCCTCATGACTGTTTAAACAATGCCAACAGCCAGAAGATGTTTCTCATGTTTCGGATCACGTCGCAAAATTCAGTGCCTCTGAGAGCCGCTCTGAATCAGTGATGAAATGTTGAGCCACTTATCATTGAAGAGTAGTTTGAGCTTGAGCCCTCACAATTCACAATGATTAACTCATTGACGCAGACTGAATGCCTAGCTGAATTGCTATAAATACCCGGTCCCTCGCCAGCAGAACAGTCGTTCGCAAGCATTCATTTGTGATTATGGGTGAAAGAATATCGAACGTGATTCTTCTCCGCGGCTACTCTTTGGTATGGATTGACCTTCAAATCATGTCATGGAATGGACTGACCTTTCATGTCGCAATAGCCTAACATTTCTCGAGAATAAAGTCGTCGAACAGTAAGTGTAGTTGCCCAGTCAATTAGAGTCATGCTGACTCGGAAGATGCTCAATATCAGCCCCACCTCCGCTATTCCTCGAAGAAATCATTGCCGAGCCTTTCGTGACCCTGAATGGACCAAGCTGCGAGTACAGTGTGTTACAAGTTGCTTCCCTGAACTACCTACTGATGATTGATGATAAATAGATGCAACCCTTTATAAATTCCCCTACGGTGGACAGCAAAGACTTCGAACGTGAGTTTTAAATTTTGCAGCAGTTTCAAGGCAAATATCATGTGCTGACGACCCTCTATATAGGATGGCAAACTTTCTATCGCGAGTCGCTCAATGTCTTGTAAATCACGCTAGTGCTTTGCCCCTGCCCATTCCTAAAGCCCGGTACTGCATTTCAATCTCCGTACGATTGCTATCCGTTCGTGGCTCTCTGTTCCTCAGCAAAGATCGCTGATGATTCTTTTCCGTCATAGGGCGAGCTTCAATATTACACTCAACCGGGCCGAGCCATGTTTCCCCCTCGTCCTCGAAACTGAACCAGCGGCATCAACTTGATGGGCCAAGCCACTGGTCACTACGCTTGCGCCTTTGTTGTTTCTGAAGACGTGGTTTACACGGCTAATCAGCCTGGCTTATGAGCAGGCCCAGTTCATAAAAGCTTGATGCCCTCCGGTTAGCCATATGATTGAGTTCCAACATGCTCTCACTTCTTTCAGGCTCACCCTGTCCGACCAAAGATTGACTGTCATTGCGTTAGAAATCTTCCGTGTTCCGACAGGCATGATCCAGTCCCATGCTAGGCCGACTGAGTGATCGCAGCATCCGGCGACAAGAAAGGGGAGCGTAGCATCGACGACCACCGAGAAATACCACGGCTTCTCCGAGGATAGCTCCGTCGAGCCCTGATTGCAGCTGAGCAAGTGATGAGGCAGACCGCAGCGCTCGATCTACCCAAATCTCTCGCCACGAGAGCAGTCGTTTCAGGTCAGTTCCTAGTCTACGCGGAACAAAACACCACGATTCTCTCCTTCAACGGGACTTTGTCCTGACATGTTTGAAGATTTATCTGTTACCCGAACAGCAAAGACGAAACAGCTATGCATTGGCAGATAATGCCATCATCCATTTCAAGCGACATGGGGTGATCCCGGGCCCTCGTGCACGTGTAATCGAGCTGAGCCCGCTACATCTCTGGTTGGCCTTTGTTGATAACAGACTACATTGACGGCAAGTCTGTAACACCCTCACCAGACGTCATGCTGAAATTGAGAAGCAGTGCGATACAAGCCCTGGTTCGACCGTTCCCACGAGTCTGATCGGCATAGTGTATAGTGGCTCGCAGCCGGGGGGGGAGGCACTAGGCCGCGAGCAAGGTAATTTGCAAACGACCATCTTGCGTCAGCTGCTGATAGCCGGTGCTAGATCGAATGTATCCTACAGCAAATTGCTTTGGCTGTGTCCCAATGCAGACGGCGATTCAAAGCTAGTCAGTACGTTCTCGTCAACAACGACCACCTTGCGCCAGCTGCTAATAATCGGTGCTAGATCGTATGCTGCATCCTCGATGTCATCATAACGCCATGAATTCTGTTGTGATATGAGGCTGGTGCAGATCAGGAATCAAGCCGAACCATCGGAATTAACTCCGTGGTGTCTATACAGAAGACCAAGTTGATTGGAAATCAACTTGGCTACACGTTGTATATATAGCCTCATCTTTCCTCCTAGAGTAAAATAACAATTCATACCTTTGAACTGCAACAAAGATAATCAATTGCGAGGCCTAGCAAAAGAGCAGGCTCGGACCGCGACCCAGGAGGATTCTACCCCGCAAGCGCAGGTCCCCCGGATGAAGTCGATAACACTGAACACCTCACGATCCCAAGCAGCCCCTAAAAGTTGCCTGCCAGAGAATATAGGGAAACACTCCAAATGAGTGGATGCAGCACTCCCAGGAAAACATACCCGGCAGTTGTATGATCGATTATTGTGGAAAGAAGCGAGCGCGCTGGCCCAACTCCGGACTGGCATGGCTAGACTCAACGGATATCTCCATCGAATCAATGTCGCAGAGTCAGATCAATGCGCATGTGGACAAGCCAGAGAGACCGTGGAGCACTTCCTCTTTCGATGTCAGCGGTGGACCGCACACCGGACGGAAATGCTGCAATGTACCCACACTCACCGAGGCAACATATCCTTTTTCCTAGGCGGAAAATCGCCTTTGGATGACCAGAACTGGAAGCCGAACCTGGAAGCAGTGCGAGCCTCAATACGGTTTGCAATCGCCACGGGCCGACTCGACGCCACTTAGCCGTGTCAATCAACACAGATCAACCCTACCCCAACCCAACATTAATCTAACCCCCACCAACTACCTTGTGCCAGAGACGGTAGACGCGCTTCAATTGCCGAGGATAGGATGTTGAACACTTGGAGAATCGCCTTCAAGCAAGTCTACTAACTAAACACTAACCCACAAGGACCCGCGAAGATATTGATATCTGAGATGACATACACTGAAAGGAATCTTGTATGGGCTCCAAGGAGGCACCGCATTAGCTAGAGCATGTATATTTAGATCAGTGATAGTTGCCCTTTCGGTTCAGCCGCCGGGCGTTAATAAATTGTGTGTGTGTGTATCAACGTAATGGCTTTGAAAATATACAAAAAAGCTCGCTATCCGGTATATTTGCCAATTCCACGTCATTTGAGGATAAATCTGGCAATGTAGGCTCCGGTGGCGGCGAATGGCCCCATTTTTTCTTGAATTGATTGCGGAACTTTGTAGCAGCGGTCTTCTCTCTTTTGGCCGTCTTTTCAGCAATACTGCGATTGGCGTCCTTTATGGATAGTATTCCATTTTGAGATAGAGGTTTAACCTGTCGCTTGCTATATTTGCGTCGTAATGGCGTACGTGCGGCTGTCATCTTTGTAATTGTATCGCGTAGGATATCAGCACTCTCAGCCATAATCTGAGCATGCCGTAACACCCGGTCCAAATTGCGTTGCTGCTTTGGTGTAGCAGTAGGTATTATACATTTTGCATGATTCAATTGTTGTCTTTCGATTGTTGAAGGAGGTGAACTGTGCACAGATGAAGATGAAGCGATACCAGGTGGCGGCGTTGTATCACCATATAGAGCGTAATTGCTTATATTTAGATCATCTACCTCAGGTAATTGGTTCGCAAGGTCCTCAACTATTATATCACCATTTGTAGGTAATATTCCACGATCTTTGAATGAATCACGAATAATGCGAGGGCTTTTCCATGCAGTAGCCCGAACCTCAGAGATAATACGCAAAAATTCAGATTTCTTTGCGACCTCACCAGACCAGAAGGCATGCAAGTTATTTTGTTTCTTAAAATGCTGCTTCAGCGCTAAAAATGGCTTTCCATCTAGCGGTTGACAAATATGTGTTGAATGAGGATAGAAGCAGAAGGGTATAATATCATAATCGAGGGCAGTTTGTATGAATTCATATGTCTTATGAGATCCATGGCCATCAAATAGAAGTATCCGCTTTTCGCCTTTTTTATAGCGATTCGCAGTCACTTTATGGAAGTGATGAAGCCATTGAAGGGCTAGATTATCATTAATCCAGCCATTTGTTGATACAGCAGTGATAGTATCCTCTGGAAGACCCTCGCTGCTATGATACCAATCTTCCTGAGGAACCTGGCCTTTGAAGATGTAAAATGGAGCCATTGACCAGCCATCAGCGGCAATACATTCGAGTGCTGTTATAGTCTCAGAATATTCTGTCTCGGCGATATTAGAAGGTCGCTCTGTGCCACTAACGATGGTTTGTGCCTTTCCCCTCCCAGGTTGAAAGCCAATTTCATCGAAGTTGTATACTAAGCGCGGAGGAACGTTCCTAGTAACCCTTGCCAGGCTGTTATACCACTGTTCAAGAGCTCCAGCATCTTCCGCAGAGATACGCTTATCATCCTTTGGCTTTTGGGAGATAGGTTTAAGGTTCTTGTGACGTTTCATGAAGCGATATACCCACATTTTGCTTAGTGGTTGTGCATCCTTTTGTGCATGCAAAAAGATAGCATTTGCTGCATCTTGCAAGATAGCAGGCGTAATAGGCATATTCACACTCTCCATAAACAGGACCCAGCCTACTAATGCCTGTTCCTGTTCATCTTTCAGGGCCATATTGGTAGGTTTTCGACCTGAAATCGACGTTCTACCCTCACGGACGCGTCGATAGAGGGTTTGATAGGGAACGCCGAATTCGCGTGCAATTCGCGATATATTCGGCTTTTTGAGGGCATTGGCCGCTTCGCAGGCCTCGGCAACGCGAGATTCATCAATTTTAGAAGATTTAGGCATCGTGGTGGAGGGTAAATATGGCAAAATTGTAGATTTGTGAAAATTTTTACACATGGCCGTTATTTACACATGGCCGTGGCCCACCCATATCGCGTAGGCGGTATGGGTGGGCTCCCTGAAAGGTCGATCCGCCACAACTATTCCTAATCCTTCCTATCCCGCCGTTGGGACATCCTATCCTCCCGTTAGGATGGGACATTATGTAATCCCGTAGTCGTGCTAGAGGGTAATCTGCCGTCGCGTGGGGGGAGGCCGGTTCTGGCCTCCTGCGCACCGTCCCATCCTGGGACGCGCAGAAAGATCGGGTTGATCTCTGTGGAACACTTCGCTTAAAGATCGTGGGTGGAACCATCGGAACTAAGTCGGAAACAGTTCTCAATGTATTATGTTCGCACGTCAAGTTTCTACTTCTTACCGGAAATCGGGTGGTAATACTCGTTAACGGCAACTAGCTACAGTATTTTTCGATTTTACATCTCTCCATAATTCAATTTATGACCAAGTCTTCTTCTTCCAAGGTAGCAAATCGAATACTCAGCTTAGCGGCTACCCTTTTGCCTATCAAATCAATGTCCAGGATGGAAATTGCCGTCTATCACTACCGAGCTCGGTACCCTAGGACTGTTGCCAAGTCGGCAATTTCAGCCCTTGCTTCAGCAACTATAGTATATAACAACTAGGCCTCGCCAAACGCGGGTTCGGGGCGGGTTTTCATTTTTCCAACCCGCCCACGGGTAACCCATCGCGGGTTGTTGTTTTATTAAGTGATGCTTCAATGTTCATATTATTGGGGGGGAGTTAATTGTGTGTTGTGTTGCATGTCTAAGATACAAGTGAAGTGAGAGGTAGGTGAATGTATGCACGTGATCCCAGCCTCTTATTATCTCAGCAACCGGGATATTCCAACAACCCGCCCCGACCCGTGGGGCGGGTTTTCGTGGGCGGGTTCGGGTTTTGGGGCGGGTCTGGCGAGGCCTAATAACAACAGTTGGACAGTCAAACACGAATATAAAGGTTTTGTCGGCATGTCCGGCTCGGCCTCAGCTCAACTCCCACCATCTCGGCCCACTTCCAGGCTCAGTCACTATGGACTCTAGTCAGTGTAAATATTATCGAGTTGCGGAAAAATATCTCGCACGACCCATAGATCCGGGTTTAGATTGGACCCACTACCTACCATTATTATTACGTTGCCTACACTGTAGATTTGCAAAGGCTTATTAATAGTTCAGCGGAGTACAGATCAAGCATTACACAGACGTGCTATGTGCAATCTAGACATGTGGGACCCCATTGGAAATTGGGATAGAGACCAATCCACTAGTCTACATAAAATTGACCACCACATCCTCTGCAGAGTACCCAACTTCTAATGGGTCAAAATCGTTCTAAATCTGCCTTTCTCCATCCCAGAACAGGCCATAAGAAAAAAAGAACTGCCCCATCTCAGCCGCGCCACTTTTATTTTCTATCTCGGCTAAAGCCATTGTGGGCCCAAACACGCTGTATAGAGCAATGATCTGCATGGCTATTGGAAAACCCACTTCATATGTCAAACCAATTTGAGGGAGTACGCGACGCCACTGAGATCTTATCCGTGTATGATCGGCAGTAACATTCCCCAGCCTATCTAGGTGAAGAGCTCGTCTTTGTGGAAACACTTGCGAAGCTCCGCTCTGTACCCAATATGCGGCGCACAAAATCAAAACAACCCGCCGGCCTCGACCGCGCCGGCGAGGATTTTTCTCTGCACACACTTCATTTCTCTCTGGAAGTACACGACACTATGGGAGGCTTGCGCGCGCTGTTGTAGTAAAGGGGACAAACGTGACGATAGCCAGGACGCTCTAGCTCGACCAGCCCAGCCTCGCCCCGAGAAGACTACGCAAAATGCACTAACAAGTGCCAAAAAGGAGGCTTCCTTGGCGGATGTGACTCCACCCCAATCGACCACAGAAGGACCGACCCAGCAGCCAGCAGCCTAAGGCAACCTATGGAAAGAGGCATTCGATAGGCTGGATCCTTCTCAGAAGCCATACGTTGCTGTATCCTGTATATCGCCAAAAGCGAGGGGTCAGGGTAAATGATAATATCCATCCATCCATCCGTCTGTAGAAGCCAGACATATCAGGCATGAATCTCTCAGCGTAGATCTTTCCATCTAGAGATAGCGCAGACAATATTTTCTACTATATAGGTATCTATCTATAGTTCTGTGCACCAAAGGAGGGGTCCCTCGCTGACTGCAAGTGTGCCATTTCACCTTCTTGAAAACCGCGCAGAAAAATGGGGAGCTGAAAGAACAGCGGGGCTCGCTTTGCTTGTGTGGAGAGGAAAGTATCCACCACAGGCCCAACTCTTTAAGCCTTTCAATATTAGTGGCTGGTATCTGGATCTTCAGTGGAGCTCCCTGCCGATTAACCCCGATTTGGATCTGGAAAGCGAATTAAGTATTGAGGTAACCGACCCATTCTACCCCATCATGTATGAGCTACAGACTGTTAGTGCGACGAGTTGAAAAGGTCGAATGGGACTGAGTGAAAGAAAGGGGGAAGAGAAAAATTGGACACGGCATTTTAAACGGAGAGGGGCTCGACAGCCACCATTAGGCGCAATTTGCAATCTCTTGAACCATGCACTGGCCACGGAGAAAAAAGTCCAAGGTCGCTGAACGACCAGCCCGACCGGTTTTGCCGGGGCCAACAGATATTGTGAAGTCGCCGACAACAGAACACAAATCATCCGCATCACCACCTGCGCAGGGAAACAGGCCTGAGTCGATTTCCCCTCAAGCAGCAAAGCAAGTCCTATCCCAAGTGGCGGAGGAACAGACAGCGACTACCGATGGACCGGCATTAGAGTCCCCACTTGGAAGTGCTCCTCCCCAGGGATTAGATGCGACCGAAAATGACGAAATCACCGCAATCTGGGTGCAAGTGCAGGAGAGAGTGGCGCTGTTAGCTACAAAGGAGGGCAAGGAGATCAATAGTGGGTTGGAAATTGATGATGTGATCGCAAATCTCGAGGCTTCTCAGGAGAAGGAAGAGGAATCACCAACCACACAAGCTGTGAAAGTCGCCTTTGGGCGAACTATGGGCTTGATTAAGACAGTTGGAGGTATTGTCGTCGACGGAGCATCTACGGTGAGTGGAAATCTGACGCCTAAGTGTCAACGATTTCGTCTAATGGAAAATGGATGGACAGGTTTTTGCACCGGCAGGACAATGCTACAACGCGGTTAGCTTCCTTATCAACGCGTACGACGGTTACCAGGGCGCCTTTGATGGTCTGGCCGAGCTGCTCGAAAAATGCTCGGATCACCTGGGCCGTCTCGACTACTATGTCAAGGGAGGTATGGATAAGAGATTGAGCAAGCTAGCTGCGCAGCAACTGTTACTGTTTGTTCAGATCTGTGACGCTGCACTGGACCTACGATATTCGGCCGCTGAGAAGATCAAAACTGGACTGAAAATCGCCTTCCTTGCGGAAAACTCCATCCAGGGTCTGTTGGGAGAGATGGCCAAGTTGGGCGAAAGAGAGCGCGGGTTGATTTCTGCGCAGACTTTCTCGCTCGCCTCCGCGGCAGCCACCAGTGCTGCTGAGGGAGCCGCTTCCAACAAACAGGTCCTGGATACTCTGGTTCAGAATGGGGAGGAGCAGAAGGCACGGGCTGAAAATGTGGACAAGAAACGGACTCTGATGGATGTTCTGGCCTTTGACGAGGACTCTGAGCAATGGAATAGCTCTAAACAAGCCCCCGTGGAGATTTGGCAGATAATATACAACGACATTCGCAAAGATGTTGTGTCAGGAACTGGAAAATGGCTTTTTTCTCATCCTGCTTTCCAATCGTGGATATCTGACTTTTCGTCCTCTCCGATCTTGGCAGTCGAGGGAACAGATATTACAGGTAAAAGTTATTTGACCTCTTCAATGGTCAAATACTTGCGAACAGACGTGAACTCTCAACATCCTAATTTGCGACATCTGGTATCTTTCTTTTTCCTTGACCACGAGAAGGCCAGCCATGGCTTTGACGACGCGGCCAAGTCCCTGATCTGGCAACTTGCAGACAAAGATGAGCCGTATATGAAATCTGCAGCACAAATCTGCCAGAAGGTTGGAGCGCTCGATCCAAGCGACATAATTCCTTGTCTACTGCTGGGAAATAAAGAGTTCGAGCACATGGATGCCGTTTCCTACCTTGTCATTGATGGCGTAGGTGACAATTTGGACGCTTCAATGCTAAAATTCCTGCAAAACTTGTTTCAAGTTCAGAATAAGAAGATTCGCGTCTTCCTGACTGGCACACCAAGGGCTTTCGAACAAATAAAGAAAAGCAGTGTGGCCTGCCCTAGCATTCCAATCAGCCGCCACAACCATGACGACGTCAAAAGGTTTATCGAGGCTAGGATGGATGACATTGATGCACTGGCAGACACAGAACGCCCGGGGATATCAGAGCAAAGGGAGCAGATCTGCAAGGACCTTTTACAGACAGCTGCAGGGGACTACTACAAAATTGACTCGGCGTTGCACATTATTAGCACGCTGGACTATATGGAGGATATCAATCGAGTCATTCAAGAAACTCGCGGTGACCGTGCCATGCAGCTCCACCGTGAGATAGATATGTTGAATCGTGAGCGTTCTCCAAGGCAAATCCAAGAGATGAATCACCTCATTCGCTGGATCACATTTGCCTCTGAAGACGTCACGGGAAGGCTAGCCTCATCGCTACTGTATCTGGTCACCGGGAATGTTCCATTAAGACCACTCGCTGAGCAGATTCGGACTAAATATCTGTTGTTCAAATTGAATGCGGAAGGCTGCGTCGAATTCAGGTCATCGAAAGCGCTGGAAGCCATCCCACACCGGAGTGAATTGGCAAGGTCTACAAGAAATAATGGTCAAGAAATCCAGCCGGGGGAGATCGATATAGTTCTGCACTTTCTCAACAACGTATGTCCGCCTGCGTTGTATCAAAAGCTTGGATTACGCGAATATCTGCAGAAGAAGTCGACCCAAAAGCAAGATCAGATCCAACAGGAGGACAAGAATACAGGGCATCTGCAAATGGCGCTAGATTGCATACGTTCTTTCTCCTATGGTTACGATGCGAGTCTCTTGCCGCTTCAGCAATACGCCACGGATAATTTCATTTTTCACTTGTCCTCGGTGGATTTGGCTATGGTTGATCGGGACCAAAAAAGCCAAGTTGGGGAGTCATTGGTTAGGTTATTCACAAGGAATGAAAGCCTTGACCCTCTCATGATGCCGAAGGGTGAAATGTCTTACTCGTATGACAATAAAACCCTTTGGCTCAAAGACAAGAAAACAATCGACGAATTGGTTAGATGGCTTCGAGACACAGCGGTGGTATCAAGGGTTACTGACGAGTCTGATCAATCTTGGATTCAGAGCGTCGTCTTAGATGACGCAGCCGAGGCCCTGTTTAAGCCGTCGGCGATCAGACTGGCTTACCTTTGCTTGAGAGAGCCAAGTTCAGCTGAGGATGTCAGCAACATCTTTTATTTTCTTGAGAAGTTTCTTCAGATGGTTAGTCTTTCAAAATTATTCATCGTTTTATTGACCAGTGACTAATAACGAACAATAGAGCTCGGATGGAACCGACAAGGATGGAGACAAGACTGTTTTCATTAACAAGTTCGAGCAGTGGGCTTACGAGGCACTCCAGCTTTCTGAAAAAGACACACTATGGCATACGCAGATGGCCATAGTTTATGCAGGATGGTCCACGAAAGATGCTATCGAACGCTCTGAGCTGGCTTTGAAATTGGATCCTAACAATTGGAGAGCATCCGTTCGCTTTGCAATATTTGCTCCATTGAAGGAAGCGATTGAGATATTGCAGACGGTGATCAGTCGTAGAAAAAAGGATCTAGGTTGGATGCGAGATCCATCCCACGTGAAAGACCTTGGTGACCTAAACTATGAGTTGGCTGAGATATATTGGAAAGATGAGCAGTTCGATCTTGCAATCCCAATTTATGCTGCGTCCTTAAAACAAGCCCCAGAAGCTGGGCACATGTTTTTGGGACTCGTCGTGCAATGCCTGGACAAGGGGCAAGAAACTGCAGTTATCTCCCTTATCGACGAGTTCTCAGCGATCGACAATGGAAAGCACCTCGCCGAAATAGTAATGAAAGCAAGGGACCCGGGTTTCATTTTATCTCTCGATGATCAAATTCGGAAGATCGCCGCCAGAACAAAGCAGTTTAGTGTTTTTGATAAACTATACGAGCCTGCAATCCGCAAGGGTGAGAAGACAGACGACCAGGAGATCCTGTGCATGGTACGATATCTGTATGGAGAGGGTCTCCATGAACACAACGTGCGTGAGGGAAAAGCGATCGAGTTGTGGGAGACTTCCTTGTCGACCTGTCTCACATCTGGTTATGTGATGTTGGACAAACTAATTACCAAGTTGGCCCCGCTCTATCTACAAAAAGCCCTCATCGCCAAAGCAAATTCGGAATCAAACACCGTGGCAAACTATCTTTCAAGACTTTCAGATATGTTGCCGGAAGGAGTGACCGCGTCACAGGTTGCTTTCCCACCCCAGCTCTGGCTGGCCCGATATTACCATCTTGATGATGATGATGCAAAGGCTCAACAGATGGTGCGAAGTTTGCTTCAGGTAGTCATCGAGCTTCTATCTGATGAAGAAAAGTCGAACGATAAGTATGCGTTTAAAAAAGCTCACTCTGTTTTTATATCTCTCGGTGACGAAAAAAACGCATTGACTGCCCTAGCCATGGAGACGCGCGAAAGTGGATTGCGCATGGGGTTATCCTGCACCGGCAGTTGCGGTCATTATTGGAAATTTCCCAGCGAGATGTGGATCTGCAAGCACTGCGTATATGTGCGTCTGGATGATGACTGTATGACGGGGTTCAAAGAGGGTAAATTGGAAAAGAGGATCTGTAATCCAGATCATGATTTTATGAAGGTTCCCAAATGGGATGGAGACTGGTTGGGCTCGATTCCAAAGGGGATGGTACCTTGGGGTGACCAGATTATTACCTTGGATGAGTGGAAAAATGAGATCCGAAAGGCATACCTTCATTCCAATGTTTGATCAAATGTGGCATTTACGGTTGCGGAAAAAATAACTCTTGAACTATGCGGTATATATTTCGATTCATTGAGTTCTCGTCAATTTTTTTCGAACACTATGTTACTACCACGTAAACCCCGTCCTCGGTGCTTGAAATATTGTTGCATTGCTCTCTAAATTTGTTGGACTAGGTCTAGGGGAGGGGCTGAAATGGCGAGGTCGCAAGGGTACCTTCTCTGATGAGTAGACTGCGGCACGGTAGAGTAGGATCAAGGTAAGGACCATATTCCATAGAGAATAACAACTAAGAGAGCGGAAGGTAAATGATATGTTCTATTCGGGATTGTTGCGGAGAGCCCCTCCCCCTTGCGTCGGGTCCACAATATTCCGTGCTTGTAATCGCATACAGATATTGCTCGTATATCCTCTCCTTCGAAAGGAACATCGCCGTTTCGAAGGAGAGTTGGGCTCTCAGCGGTTTCTTCCCGCCCACCGCAGAACCCCTCATGTATGTACTAAGTATGCTTCCGCATAGCTTTGCTTCCTCCTTAAATATACGGAGTGCTACGGGCCCGCCTGCAGCCCTCACGGCGCTGTAGTCTTCTGTCAAGGAGACCTACATTACCATGTTCAGACTGCAGGTGCCCCGTACGGGCCAAAAATATCTCACGCGTCTCCATTGTAGCAATGTAGCAATGGTTGGAATAGAAGACCTTTTTTGAAGTTCTCAACACGTTACATCCGGTCTTTCGGTGAACTTTTCGGGAAACAAATCATGCGTGTTGGTTGAGCATCGTTGAATAACATCACAAACACCGTAAATAAATGAGGATTCACGGTTACAGAATAGAACCACGGGTCAGCTCAACCTAACCATGTTTCTGAAGCGTTACACTGATTCATCGTTTCAACGGCAAGTTCCACGGATAATCAGTGATTCCTGGGATTTAGCTGAGTATTTGGGTGAGATGACTTCTAAAATTTACCGCCTCGCTACAAGCACTTCTGGAGGTGCGGAAAGTTTAAAACTCACCACGACCACTTTCTGCACTTTTCACTTTCCTGCAGAAGGCTCACAAACCAGCATTTCATTTATCACCGCGCCTTATTTCCTGAGATGTCTCAACACAGTTCGCTAGGCTGGTCAGATTGGGAGGAGGATAATCTTCTCCCCTGGCTGAAAAAAACCCGAGCTTTGTCTTGGGATGCCCGTGCTGCCGCTTACCGTATAATGAAGAATATGGGATCAAGCGAACTGTGGAATCGCTACGAGGGAAAAAATACCACATTCTCCGCAAACGCCGTCTTAATCGTGCGAATGCATCTGCACATCACCCACATTCAAAGCGCCAAAGACGTATTCGACGACTTGGAGGTGCCAGAAAGAGATTCTCAGCATTCTCGAATTCCAAGGCTCAAAATATCGACCAGTGACTTCAGAAAATACCTTCAGCAGAATCCACCGCTTCGGAGAACAGTTCCGCCACAGAAGAGTCATATTCCGGTACGCAGGCATTCCTTCATCGATTACTCATGCTCATTTGTTTTGTCATTTAGTTTGTACGAAACCGGCTCCGCATCATCCTCAGTCACAAGAATCCCAGTCCAGGTCCTGGCTTTGGGATTATGTACACCGTATCTGTGCAGCCAATAGTTAAATCCTTGACTGAGCGTGGTCATCTGGAAACAAATAAGTGAGAATTGAACAATTGGTTGCTCTGGGGTATATGATTATCAGCATTATTTGGATATGTAACATGGATAGGAAGCTTCCATATACGGTAAATATTGCGGCAGTCACTTCGCACTGGATATCATCTTTGGGGAAAGTTCTGCATGGCTTCCAGGTATTCAGAGCCCAGCTTTATATTAGAACAAATGAACAGTCTCCCCTCTTCTCCATGGGGATTTGTGAAGTATCAAATCTCAGACTGTGATCTGACGCGATATCTCGGACATTTGAGCACAGTTGCTGCGACGGGATTCAAGGTTCTCTTTCTGCTTCTGGCTGTTTTCATTTCCTACGTCTAATCACCTTCCGGCAGATTCCCTCGTAAGCTTAAACTTCATAGGTGAAGTCTCTACGACTGCTACAGGGAATTTTTCTATCAGAGTTGCTAGTTCCGGTTAAAGCCTCTTTTTATTTTTGAATCACCCTTCATTGTTCCTTTCGTCCTCCGAAGAAATTTTTCCAACGCGGCGGGAATAGCCTCGATCTTGCTGTTGAAGATGGAACTGGCAAATCATTTCCCGGTTTGCAGGGGTAATTTGAACGGAGAGAAGAATTTCGGTGTTCATTGAACGAAGAGCGAAAGACTATCATACGAGCGTGAGAGCTTTACGTATCAAGCTTCCGGCCCGGTGCATGGTTTGAGAAGTGAGAGGGTTTGTTCTAGCACATTACTGACAGCAATTGCAGTGGCTGTATGCAAAAGATGTAGCTATTAGTTGAAAATAGAGCACAAAAGTGCCATTTCTGGTATCTGCGTTAGGCCGTGTGGAGCTGATATAAATAGCATCGAGACTCTATGTTGACCTCCTCACCCCATTGCTCTTTTATTGTTCTGTTTGCCGACAATGCTCACTCCGCACAGAAAACGCGTATGTGATGACATCAGCAAGTAAGGCAGCTTCGAACATCTAATCGATGAATACTCGGCCCTGCAACTTGGGGAACGGGCAGCAACTGAAGGCTCGTTAGCCCCCGACAACGCTGATAGCGGCGAAGCCCAGCCATCGATAAGCTACGTCAGTGATCAGCAGCAGCAAGACATCGAAGAGGTTGACGATGTAGGAATTGAAGAAGAAGCGGAAGCGTGCATGGATACGTACCGAGCATTGATGGAGAAAGGGAAGCTCTCGTTTTCGGAAAATCAAATGCTTGGAGAGCTTCATAGTGCTCTGAGCGATTACTATCTAAGGGATCCCCAAAAGTTTGATGCACAGTTTAACACAGTCAACGGCCAGCTCCAGTCAGACGATCAAGAAAAGACTGCGAGTACCCCAGCCATGAACTCTTGTCATAGTAGCCATTTTGACCAAGGAGTCAGTGAGGACCCATGGCGTCAAGGTAGCCCTGAAGCTACTGGAGATCTTCAGAATTCGCCGTTTCTTTCAGATGAGATAGGCCGCGAGAGGCCTGTGGGGATGAGTGATTCCGAATTAGAAAGGGATTCCACGGAGAAGAATAATCCTGCCGATCCGTCTTCGATGGGAAAAGAGCTTGGTGCGGCGGGCTCATCTCGCCAACGTAGCAACCATTTAGAAAGTCGCACCGATAATGCTACTCCTGACAATGGGTCTCTAGTCAGCCTATGTCCAGTCAGCCATAGCGCATCAGAGTCGGCATCCAACCGAGCCACCACTAACAATGAACTAGTAGATGGGTGGGGAAGCTTACGCCGATCGACGTTCGTGATCATCCAATGTGGACCGCATCACGCAGCCAAGTATCGATTCGAGTACCGGTTGAACTATAAAAACAACTCTCTGGCTAGCATCTCGGATCGCACCAAGCGAATCTCTGCCCTGGAAGATATAGACAGCTCTGATGGTCCGATGTGGCGGTATACGTCCGAGAACGTAAAGGACGTGGATGGGGTGGTTGCAGAAGCACGCAATCCATGTAAAGATTACGAGACCGACCCATGCATGTGGTTGAAAGTTTATTGGGAGAATCTGAAGCTCGATGATCAGGAAAATCTAATTGGTGGTTACTCTTGGATTCCAAGATGGGAATTTACCCGATTCTGGGGTGGCCGCCGCTTATCGATGCTAAGGATACGAGAGCTTTGGGACGAGCAAGAAAAGCGGCACCAAAAGCATCTAGAAAGCAGTGGTCAAATCGCAAAGGGCCACCCTCTTGCTCCTTATCAGCACTTGCTAAAAGCGTATGGACTAGTATGCATTCAGGACGAATGAGATCAAGCGGAACCAATTCAGGATAAAATAATTGATTGATTGAATCGAAATAAGCATGCGATCGAGGGCAGGTTGAAATACCCCCCGTATGTGCGTATACTCGGTGGTTATTACACCGAGGTTGCTAGTTGAACCAATTTACCATACAAAACACAAAGAAATGTGGGTTCCTGGGTAATCAATCGCTTGCTAGTGGTAAAATACCACTCGATGCGCTGACAATTACCTACTTCACATATCGGAGAAAATGCGTCACACCTACACAATATCAAGTAGATACAAGCTGTGGTACGGCGCGGGGCTGACATATCTCGCGAAAGAGCTCCTTGTATAGTTAGCGAGTCACTAGATCGATTATGTTTTCGCAGAACAACTGTTTCTGCTATCGACCTCGTCTTTGCATGTAGCAATACTTACATTGGTCTCCTGGGAGCTAAGTGGACGCGGGAAGATGATTACTACAAGGAAACATCAGCCAATTAGTGTCAAAGGCCCATATGCGCATAAGTCTTCAATGAAATGGTTGGTTGATAATTGGGCTTGGCTCGCAGGAGCTTGTGGGTCATAAATAATGATGCAATCATTGGATACCACTAATAGAGTGATATTTACGGAGGAATAATGAGCCAATCGGTGCCACGAATGATCCACATGTGTCACAAAGCCTTAGTAGAAATGATTGGTCCAAATTTGGCTATTAACCCCTAGCTCTGTGGCCCACTATTTTTCGAAGCCCGTGCATTCCCTAATACCCTTCCCTTTCCCCCAAGCCTAGAGGTAAATCTTTTTTATTTTTATTTTTATTTTTATTTTTTCACTCTGGGCTGGCGGGTTAGTTTCCTAAGTTCTTGTGCCTGCCTTTTCGTCGAAATAGGTGCGCTAGCACAGAATCACTAAGCACATGTCCCGGAAAGTCCATTAACAGCCTCGTTACTATGCCGGCTTCGCATAAGAGTAGTCTTATAAATTAAGCTTAAGTATATTCCGTGCCGTTGAAAGCTTGCCGTCCGGTGGCTTCAGTCTCAGTTGTTTTGGGAGGAACGGACCCTTGGTGTCGCACACAGCTGGTGGGGACATCGCGAGAGTTTCTTTGGCTGACTCCATGATTTTCGCTCAGACCCACAAGAGACGATATTTGGGACTGGGTATGCGCTACCATGGCGAGAGTATAGGCTTCCATGGTAATCTGGGTCAAAGGGTTACTATCAACAGAGTCAAGTATGGATACAGGCATGGTGGGTTGTAGCGGTTGTTGCGTCACGCTACTTTCGGCCACTGGGAAGATCTACTTTGTATATGAGCCTTTACATATCGCAAGAGTATGAAATGACGACTAGCTCGATAAGATGGTATGGTAAGAAATCTCGCATGTTTACCTTCGAAACAGAGAATCCAGCCTCAGCAAGAACCTTCGATTATAGACAGAAGTACAGCAATCTGACTTGAGGATAAGATTGGCGAAGAAATGGCTAGGTATACAAGGGTATGCTTCTGCAAAATCGTTGTATGAAGCAAGTGGATATAAAGAATTTCAAATTAGAGGAGATGGCGTGCGGTCAACTTGTAAATTCAGACGGTATGAGCAATCAGCGGGAGAGAGAACCGACGATCACAGTGACAGACCCTGCACACGACACCTGCTAAGTGGCCGCGGTTTACTGATTTGTCACCAAAAGCCAACCATTCCTGGAGCTCCATGGTCACGTGCATCCACGGGACCCAGGCTTGGTCCGGATTCCAGAATGCCCGGCAGAAAGCACTCAGAACCGTCACAACGAAAACTCCTACTACATGTGTTTGTATCTTAAAACTAGTGCAAGCGTATCTTGATACTGTTTAAATAGTTTGAGGGATTTCCTGCGGGTGGGCCGCTCTCATGATATTTTTGTCGACGTAGATCTGATCGTCTGTTTAAGCGTACCTCCACATATGGGAGATATTCCTGGAATACTATGTTCAAACGGAGATACCCACTTTCTATACGTTTAGGAGCCTACAAGCATTGAGGTCGACTAAGGAAAAGTAAAAGGGAAGTCGAATTTTGGAGTACATGCTTGGGTTTGCCACGTTCAGGTACATCGCAATTCAATAATTTCCCGAACATAAAATCGGACCGGTCCATGAGCCGCGCCTCACGAGAACTCAATCTGCAAGAATTTTTCCACCTCCGAAATCAGGTCCTTCTCGATACATTCTACGAGTCTTCCGATCACGTCCGGAAGTGTAATCAATCGTTGGTTCGGTGGATCACGGAGAGGTAATTTAGGCAAAGAAGCTTGAAACGGAGTAGTTTGCTGTGACTGCATTTGCTTTATGCTTGGCTTGGGAAGGGTTTTCTGTAGGAATCTGAGGAGACCACAGAGCTTCTCCGCGCCAGGACTCGAGCCGATGCAGAGGCAAAATTCGATGGCGGCATAAACTATCTCAAGCAGACTATCTCTGTCTTGGGTCAAGCGATGAACAGCGGCGTGACGGATGCTCGCGATGAAATGGCGCAAGTTCTGAACAGGGGTGATATTTGCACAGCATTACTCAGTCGAGATCTTCGATCGATTCTTAGCTAAAAATTTAAAGAATTTATGCAGCTCCAGCGCCTCGGGGCATGTCCAGCCAACAGCCAAAGACTGTGGTAGACGGCATTTTTGAACAAATTGGAAGGCGGAATGCTCGAGGTGATGTTGTAGAGTTTGGAGGATGATATGCTGCGCTCGAAAACGGATAGGCATCAAAGTCAGTCCTAGCATGGGGAACAGAATCTCTACGAACTCTATCGACCGTCATTAGCGAAGGCACTCCGACCTTTAGCTTTAGCTTACCCTTAGCTTTCAATCCCCGGCAATATTCCAAAAAGCGTTTCGAAGACCTTCGACAGTCAATTATAGAATTATCCAATTTCGAGAAAACCCCGAGGTTATTCACCGGTAGCGGATTGATTGTGGAGACCATGAATGCTGAGCAGCAGCGGAGTCTCTATTGGGGCTCGAGGAAACCATGTTCCGACAGCGGAGTCGGCGTCGACATATCTTCATCGATGGTACCTTTTCGGCCGGCTTGTGGGTGTGGGCACACGAAGTACCCTGGTCGTCCTGTGCTGGCAAGTGAAATTAAGATCTGAGCGGCAGGAGGCGTTGCAGTGACTGCGACTTGCGGCGGAAAATATGTCGGCCAGGCTAAGGGAAAGCATTTTTTTCTCACGGAGGCGAGAGCAAAAATTTTGCTGGCGAAGATTTCCGCGGGCGGGCAATCGATCTGCTAAGGCGAGTCTTCCATGGAACGACTCTACATATTAGCTGCGTGAAAACCGTTTCACATCGTTAAGCAATGTTGAGACCAATGATTCGCAAATCGATTGGCCACGGTGCGAGCGAATACTGGCAGACTTTTCAAGCTACGATGATTAAGCTGCCACGGCGAGTGGTCCATGGAATACCACTTCGGTCTAAGCCTCATACCAACTGCGTCGAAGGCCGTTTGACCAAGGTGAATCAACGTTGATGAGAGGAATGATTTGTCACGCATCGCATCATGTCAACCACGGCTCCAGGTGGATCCAGCCACTCCGCCCGCTCTCCACTCCAAACTCTTGAAATTTCTTATTTCAACGTTGAATCAACCGCCTCAACACCCAGCAAAAAGGCGGTCGCTCAGTGCGAATTTCGAATGAAGATCTCTGGGCCCGGCAAAATGTACGCAAGTGGTCGCTGCCGAAAAACGTACCCGGAATGGCATAAAAGACGCTCTTTTCCCGTCGAAAAGAAAAGCAGGGCTTTCCTCCTCACACTCCCGAGCCACTCGGGTGTTCTTTGCAGGATAAGATCTGCGTTACCAATAACTCTTCGCGGTACAGGCCCCGCGTATTCAAGTCTGCCTCGCAGGGGGACGCTGCGTTACCAAGGGAGACCCGCAGGAGAGTGCTGCGTCGACAAGTTCTCCCTCGCAGCAATGAGCCCTGCGATTGTAAGAGTGTGCTCCCTCGCAGCCAATGAGCCCTGTGTTGTATAAATGTGCTTCCTCACAGCCAATGAGCCCTGTGTTGTATAAATGCGCTCCCTCACAGCCAATGAGCCCTGTGTTGTATAACTGTGCTCCCTCACAGCCAATGAGCCCTGCGTTGTATAAATGTGCTCCGCAGGGACGCCTGCGATATCAAGAGTCTCCGCGCTGGAGACCGCCGCGATACCAAGTTCTCCCTCACAGCCTTGAGCCCTGTGATTGTATAATCTTGAGCTTCCATGCAGCCTTGAGCCCTGCGTTATCAAATTTGTGCTTGTTAGGCGACCCGTGGCGCCACGGTGCTCGTCCTGATCCTCTGGCGATTGCAGGCACCTCTTCGTGGTGTCAGAGACTAGTATTCGGGGGAGTGACTCGAAGAAGCCAAGACCTGCTCCAAAGAATCCATAGAAATTAAGAATTCGCTAAGAAACTTTGTGTTTTATGTGATTCAGCCTATTTGTAGAGTTCACTATTCGTGTTCCTTGTTCACGTAGGGTATTTTTTAGCCTTAAATCACGCCCTGGGCTTGGAGAATGAGCATTGTCTTTCATGTGGTGTAAATTAGAATATTGAGTCATGGGGCCGGTTGAGATCTTGGTGTATGATAGCGTGGTGGCCAATGTGGGCGACGGCTGTAATTCAAAGTTGTCTCCATTGGTGGGAATGCTTGTGTTTTGCCTAGGAGCGGCGGTAGAGTTTCTCCGGAGAGGCGAGTATTATGGACATCGAGAGTGGAACATGTTGAGGGTAACGGTTGAGGGTGAGGGGGAAGATGAGGGTTGCAGGTGAGGTTCAACGGTGATTGATGGTGTGTTGATGTTGAGGGCTGGAGGTCAGTGAGGGTTGATGATAACGGGACCGGACCAGTAAGTCCACATGTTAATGTGCAGCGCGGCGCGATTGCCGAGCGGTGAGGTGGCCGCCACCGGTGATCTGACTACCCATCGCCGTCCAACAGATTATTTCCAGCTAGCTCATGTCAAGAGCTAGGGCCACTTAGGAGTCCGAGAAGAAGAGACTTCTTTCGAGAGGGTTCGGCTCGTGGGAGAGTCCTCTCAAGAGGAAATCAGTCACAGGACGGCCTACTGAAGAGCACAGGCGACGCAGAAGGGTACATGTCATATGAGCTGGCTCTTCGTACTACTTCCCTCCTAGTCCAATCATTCTAGGCCTAGACCAGTCTTGAGATAGCCTAGAGAGCCACGCTGCCCCAGTAAGTATTGTTACCATTCGCATATCAGCTGTGCAGAAGGAGTGCGTCCCCGCAGTTTTGATATAGAGTTTGTGCAGGACAGGGCCAAGCCGCACCATAACTTGTATTTGCCTGCTATCGTGTAAAATGTGCTTAGGCAAAATGTACTCAGCTGTGATAAGATAGATATCAAATCCGAATGAACATTAACAACTCTGCGGTTCGGTTAGCACGTAACCAGAGGCGCATCTATAACTTGATGTTTACATAACATGGAGATGGGACATTCATCGAGTAAAATATTGCGCTCATCATCGGTGAGTGGAACGAAATGGCATGACCGCTTGCCGCCCCTCCTGTCGCAATAACGTACGGACCCATGTTGATGAATGTTGAAACGTGTCGTCGGCGCTTTTCTGCGGTATCGCTGCGAGTGTTGAAGCAAGAACAACAGTGAGGGAGGCTTTTGGATATACTCAATCATCAACAAAAAGCCGTGATGTCGCCCAATACTGCTTAAATCAATGGTTGAATCTTAAACCAGCTGCAATCTGAGGGTCAGTGGTGTTGAGACCCTCACAATTTGCAGCAATCATTACATCAGCGCAAGGGTAAGGGCTGGGTACAACTATAAGTACCTGAGCTCTCACCAGCAGAACGGTCGTTCTCAAACATTCCTTTATCATCCTGGGGCAAAAGATATCGAGCACTTCTTGATTTTGTCAGCTGCTGATAATTGGTACGAGACCGAGTGTATTCAACGGCAAATTGCTTTGGACCTGTCCCAATGCAGACGGCGATTCTAAGCTGCCACCATGGCTTGCTTTACAAACGAAGCTGGCAAGCACGTTCTCATCGCTGGAAATTCTGTGTAACCAACTGACCATGTCGTCAAACCGCTGATGCGAAGATGACTGCTTCCCCCCAAACTACGCTATGCTCAATGCAGCCGCAAGCGGAAGAATGCTCCTTTCTCGTGTCGCTACCGAACGATGCGGACTTGACAGCAGTGTTGTAGTTCAGAGGCATTAATTATCTTATTGTTCAAA